TGACCCCAGCACTACATGTGGTCTCATCAGCACTCCCAGGGGTGTTGCAGAGGCAATGTGCTGGGAATAGTCCAGCTCTCCTGCAGTGCCTGGGATTGAACCAAGGTCAGCAGTGTTCAGGCAAGCACCATACCTGCTGTACTATTTCTTTCGCCCTGTCGTAAACATTTTTGAAGTATAAAATTTAATTGCTCTTTATTCCATTAAGTACTTGCAACATTGTTTCTATAACCCTTAAACAAAGCTACTGAGGACCTTGAAAATTATCTCCACTTATTTTTAATGCAGGTTTTATATTTTGTTTCTCCAGGATTGTCGGAAGAAACATAAAGATGCCAAGAGGAGAGTGAAAACAAAGTAATACTTGACATCAGTGACATGTAAACTAATTTCACCTATAGAAATTGGTGATTGGGGTCCTGAGAGACAGTACAGTTGGTCAGGCACTTGCTTTGCAATGTTCGATCCTCAGGCTCCATATGGATCCCTGACTCGCCAGGAGAGAGCCCTGAGCACCACTGGGTTTGGCCCCATTCCCTGCTTAAAAAGAAGACAAGCAGAATTGGTGATTTGGAAGATAATTTTAGCTCACAAAAAAAGCTCAGAGTGAAGGAATAATCAAAATCTGGTTGGTGGATTTCACTGGACAGTTCTTTTTCTGTGAATTTCTTCAATCTTCCTGAGTAATCACTTCAGAAAAATCAACCTGAGCTTTGAAAAGAGTCAAGCATAGGGTGGTGCCTTGGGACCATTTTTTATACCCCTGCCTCTGAAACAGTGGGCATCTCCTGATGGAACAGTACGCTGACCAGACCATTTGCGTTTTCTAAGTCAGACCTTGTACGCATTGTTGACTCCCTGAAATATTTATTTTCCATTGTGTGAGATATACCTTCCCTCCATTTTGGGGGGGGTGTTTCCTAAAAGTTGAATTCAGGTCAACTTTGATTTCAGGACTTGTTTCTTGATGTGAACAAGATTAAAATGCAGACATTATATTTTTACCCTCTCGACTTGGTTGTGATGAAGGGGCTGACTCCACGTGCAAGGCCCAGGGGAGCACTCTTTGAGCTGTCGTCCTTAATAGAGGTTGTCCATTGGACCATATGGACACTAGGGTTTGTACTCCCTTACCTGTGCCTGCACACACACTCACTGCAGGGGGTGAGGGTGGGGGGTGTCACACTCTTAGCAGAAGACCGCTGATTATACCTCTGGTGCCTAGGTATGCCAGCCAGAAGTTGACATCTTGGTGGTGACACTGACATTGTCTTTTAGTTGTTCATCAGGAGTCACAGCACACTTCTCTGTGGCGAATGCCTACACCTGGATATGGGTGCAGCTGGGAAGTCCTGGTTTCACTGGGAGTCAGCAGAGCTGCTAGGTTCCACGCAATGCGTGTGGGACACCAGGGATTTGCACTCATGACCAGATGCCTACAAAGCAGCAGCTCAGTGACCCTGTGTAGTTCCTTCAGGCCCTAGAATGCAGAACTGTTGGGCCGGCAGCATAGGAGAGGTCTGTGAGAACCAGAAGTTTCTGTCTTAGCCTCCAGGAATTATTAGAGATGGGTTCGACTTTGTGTGTTAAGTCCAAGGTTTATTTTTTAATTCAAGTTTTTGGTATTTTTTTTTAAATAATCAGTGTGTTTCCTTTTTATGTGATTTTTATTTATTTATTTTTAATTTTTATTAGTGAGACACCATGAGGTACAGTTATAGACTTATAAATTTTTCGTTTTGGGTCACACCCAGCATCTCACAATCTGTTTTGCCCAAGAGCAATCCCAGGAACAGTCCCATTGCTCACAAATCAGCAATTTGGTTAGGATTCAGTTACTTCTCTCTGTTCCTGAGTGGAGGATTATGGCATTACTGGAGAGACTCACTCAGACTGGTAGGTCCCCTTCTAAGATGGCCACGTAATATCTGTCCACTCAGAGCCCATCTTGGGTTTCCTCCCAGCATAGCAACTAGGTTCAGGGGCAGACGCAGATGTCCTAAATAAATCTTAGTCCTAACCCACTGAATCAAACTGAGTTTGGTTCTACAAATCACAGCATAACTCAGACTCAAAGAAAGGGGACATAGATACTGAACTCTCAGGATATCAAGGGATCTGTAAGCATTTAAGCCTGTCACACCCTCTATCCCAAGAAGGTAAGTCACATCAAGTAGCCTTGCTCAGCTCTCCTATTCCTGAGATATAGCCACCTTCAGTAATTTTATCCATTATCTCTGATACTTTTCATTTTTACTAATGCTTATTCTGATTTTTTTCAATTAAGACAAAGTTTACAAACTTCGGTTTACAACGTTACTCATAGTTGAGTTGAAGACATACTATGTTGCAGCGACATCCCTTCACACGTCTCCAGTGCTTATACTGATTTGTTGCTTTTTCAGTTTGACATTACCCATTGACATTGAATTGAAAAATAAGGGCTTATTGATCAGAGCAATTATATAGTGGGTAGAGTGCACGCCTTGTACACAGCCGATGCGGTCAGTCTGGGTTCGATCCTGGGCATCCCATATGATCCTCTAAGCCCTGCCAAGAGTGATCCCGAGCATCCCCAATGTCGCCCCCGAAAGGCAAAGTGTTTGATCACATGGAATCGTTCACCTCAGCTCTTTCCCATGCTTCCAACATAAACTGTTTGTCAGGCAAGGTTTTTTTTTCCCAAAATTTTTATTTTATTAAAGCACTGAGATTTACAAAGTTATTCATAATTGAGCTTTAGACAGTGTTCCATCGCCAGTGTTGGACTTCCAGTAGTGTTCCCAGGTTCCCTGTCTTACCCGCTCCCAGGCCTGCCATCTTCACAGGCACCTTTTAAAAGGTTTCATTACTGGGACTGGAGTGATAGGATAGCCAGTAGGTGTTTTTCTTGCATGTGGCTGACTTGGGATCAGTCCTCAGCATCCCATATGCTTTTCCGAGCATCAGGAGTGCTTTCATGAATTACCAGGAGTAATTCATGAGTGCAGAGCCAGGAGTAACCCCTGAGAATCACTAATGTGATCAAAATAAGTATGATTATTAAGGTTTGGGTCACAACATCATAATTTCAGTGTTGTTGATTCTGTGGTCTGGGTATTTAGCTCTGCCAGTCCATACCATATCTCTTGACCCTTGCACCTGTTGCTTCTATCATCTATCTCTTCCTTCACCCCCTCCACTAGAGCTCTCCTTCTCTTTATACTTTGGGACTAAGTGTGCTCTAGATATTGCCCCCCCCCCCATTTGTTTTTTTTTTTGTTTTTTTTTTTTTTGCTTCTTGGGTCGCATCTGGCGTTGCACAGGGGTTACCCCTGGCTCATGCACTTAGGAATTACTCCTGGCGGTGCTCGGGGGACCATATGGGATGGTGGGAATTGAATCTGGGTAGGCCGTGTGCAAGGCAAACACCCAACCCGCTGTACTATTGTTCCAGCCCCTCCCCCCCTTTAAAAATATTGCCTTTCCTCGTCTGATTACTCTAAGTATCACATATAAGTGATACCATCCTCTGCTTATCCTTCTTCCGGCATACTTAATTTACCATACCTTCCAATTCCATCCACATTGCAGCAAACTGCATGATTTCAGCAGTGTAATATTGTGTGTATATACCACAACTTCATGATCAACTGATCTATTGTTGCATGTCTAGATTCTAAATCTTAGCTAGTGCTGCAGCCCAACCCAGTGCTTGTGCTGCATCCCAGTCCCAAACAGACCTGCCATACCCACCTTTTTCTCTTTAGATACATCTATGTTGGAATTCTCCACCGTGCTCTATTCTGGACTGTTTCTGGATTGATAAAAAATGGACTAAAAAAGGTGGCCACTTGGGCTGGAGGGCCAACAGGTTTTTGATCCCTAGAATCACATATTACCCCAAGCACAACCTGGAGTGATTCCTGAGCAAAAGTCTAAGAGTAAATAAACACTGAACACTTTCGATTTTAAAGGCCAAAAATACCTTTTGGGGGACTGGAGCGATAGTACAGCGTGTAAGGCGTTTGACTTGCACACAGCCAACCAGGGTTGATCCCGGGCATCCCATATGGTCCCCCCAGCACTGCCAGTAGTAATTCTTGAATGCAGAACCAGGAGTAAATAACCCCTGAACATCAATGGGTGTGACCCAAAAAGCAAAATTAAATAATAAAATGCCCATTTTAGTTTCAGGTCCTTGGATATGTGTGTGTGTGGGGGGGGTTGAGTTGGGGTGTAGGAAGGATGGGGGAGGGTTGGGACCACACACTAAGGTGCTCAGGGCTTACTCCTGTCTCTGAGCTCAGGAATCACTCCTGGCGGAAGTTGGAGGATCATATGTGGCCCTCGTGTTCGAACTCGGGTCACCCTCATGCAAGGCAAGTATCGTTCGGGTCCCCGGTCCTTTTTTTTTTTTTTTTTCCAATCAACAGACCCAAAAGTGCCGAGCTGTCACACAATACTAAAAAATATGTAAGCAACCGGGTCAAGGAGATAAATAAGCAAAGATTTTGCTTTCATTACAGAACTGATATTAGGGCTGGTATGTGGCTCGGAGGGAAAGCCTTGACTGTGGGGCCCTAGGTTCGATCCCAACTCTTGAAAAAGCAAAAGTCAGCGTTCGTACCACGCATTCTCCTCTCCGTTCCGTCCTATCCACCCACAGTGTCACTTCTCAGGTCTACGGTGAAAATCGGGGTCGAACGGCCCCAAAGTTCAGGGACACTTGTTTCGCGGCGGGCCGTTATCCAGAATAAGGCCGATTCCGGTCACCGCCTCACAGTCGGAGAGCGGGGGAAACCGTGCCTGCCCGGAGCCCTGCATCCCGCAGACGCGGTCACATTTACTGTCGCCCAGCCCGAGCGCCCTGCGGGACTCTGACGACCCTTTGGGCCCAGCAGCCTTCCCGGCGTGCCCCGCGGCACCGTGGGAGGGCGTGGTCGGAGGTCGCAGCCAATAGCCACTCGTCTTGCTGACGAGTGGGGAGCCGCGCGCGCTGATTGGCTGGTGCGGCCGGCCTCTCCTCCGGGCGCTGTCAGGGCGTTGCATCACCTGCAGGCGCACGCCGGCCTGTCCGCAGCGTGGACCGGCTTCCTTCCGAAAGTTCCAGTGGCTCCCGTCCGCGGGGCGCCTCAGGTACAGCCCCCTTCTGCCCGCGTGGCCCCCCAGATATGCACCTTCCCTGGCCGTGGCCCCTCCTGGCTTGTCCAGCCCTGTCTGGCATGTCGGGCTCCCGTGTACATTGGATTTTTCTTTCTTAAAGGGTTAGTTGCCTCCGTGTCGGTTTCCAACACGTAAGTTCCAGGTCGTCTTCCGTCTTAAGCAGTGAACGGAGTAGAGATCGGGGTTGTGATTCTCGGGCGGGAAGTTTGCAATCTTCGGAAGTTGCCCCCGCCCACCTCACCCCCACCCCCCACCACCACCCCCGATTTGCCTGGAACTTGGGAACACTCCGTTTGGGTGGGTTGTGGAGGGTTTGGTGGGATGGAGCATTTCTGGAGAAATGCAGGATCTGGGCAAGTGTAAGGGGAAATCGAGACCTCGCGGGAGCAAATGGGCCCCAGATTGACTGGGGGGAGCTGTGGTGCCCGCTTCCCTGGGCACGCGAGCCCGGATGCCGAGCAGGGGCACAGCTGTCTCGTGGGATCAGGAGGATGGAGAAGATTTCGCAGCTGTCTTGGGTTAGGGGCTTGGAAGATGGTTAGGTATGAGAGGACGGGGGGAGAGCAAAGGACCCTAGCAAAATAGAGCTGACTTGGAAAGCGTGTTTTCACTCGGTGGAGGGGAACGAGGTTGAGTGACTGCGATGGGAAAACTGCAATTGGGGGCGTGTTTGTAGAATCAATGAGACATCGCGCCTTGCAGCCAGCCGTATGTAGTTTCTTTCTTGAAAGAAGGACTTAAAATGAGGCTGAAAGAGAATATGGATTTTGCAGGAAACTCAAAGAATGAAGCTGTAGGGAAAGTTGATGGGTTTAGTGGATATGGAGTAATATGATGAACTTTTTAAAGAGCAAATGTCAGTAAAATGGTGGGCAGTAACCTTCATAAGTGATAAAAAGTTCATTACGTGGAAGAGGAGGTAACTTGAGTATTGATTGCACTCTTTAGATTTTTTATTTTGAAAGACGATGAAGTGGCTGAGTAAGAATAATAGAAATTTGTGGACAAAGAAGTCATCACGTGGCTTACCAGACTGGTTGCTGTGAACTGTTCATGGGCGTTATTTCACTGGATGGTGATCAGGGTCTAATCCTGGCTCAGTGTTCAGGAGTGATCCCTGGGTCATGCTCTGAAACCATCCGTGGTGCCTGGGCCCAAACAGGGCCAGCTACGTTACACCGCAGGTGCCCTTGACCCCTATACTGAGTCTCATCCAGTATTGCTTAGGGGTTACTCCTGGCTCTGCACTTAGCAATCACACCTGGTAGTGCTCCCCGGACCATATGGGATAGTGGGGATCAAACCCAGGTCAACTTGGTGCAGGGCGAAGGCCCTACCTGCCCCTGTTGTACTGTGGCTCAGGCCCCAAGAAGTTTATTTTGAAACATACACAGACAGTGTTTTTTATTTGTTCTTCCAAATCCTGTTGACATAAACACAAGGTCAAAGAAGGCATCTACAATCGAATTGGAAGAAGCTAAAGAGGCCTGAAGAGTGTGAACGGGGGAGAGAGGATTGAAGACGGATGTTGTGTGCTCATGTATGCACGCGCGCGCACACACACACACACACGCACACAGAGTGCCCTGTGGTTTCTGGATGCTGTTGTTCATGTACAGCTCTCCAGTGGATGGAAGGGGCCAGAGTGATTCTGTGATTTATGCATGGGACTGTTCTTCCTTGGCAGTCTTCATAGCCCGGTCACTGAGACATAGCAGTAATCTATACACTCACGTTAGTGTACAGAATTCTGTCTAAGTTTTTGGTTTTTGTTTTGGCTGCACCCATTGGTACTCAGGCCTTACTCCTGGCTGGCTGCTCAGGGATCACCCTTGAACTATTATATGCTTTGCCAGGAATCAAATCTGGCCCATCACATGCAAAACAAACTCCCAGCCCTCTGTACTCTAAAGTCCCCTGTGACTATTTCTTAGAGTAATAAATTTGATTTCTCTTGCAGAACAAAATGGTTCAACAAGTTCCAGAAAATATCAATTTTCCTGCGGAAGAAGAGAAAATCTTGCAGTTCTGGTCTGAATTTAATTGTTTCCAGGAATGTTTAAAGCAATCAAAAAATAAACCAAAGTAGGTGAATTTCCTTGGTAAAGGTAGAGTTCTTTTTTTTTTTTTTTTTTAATTTTTATTAGTAAGACACCATGAAGTACAAACTTTCGTGCTTGGGTTTCAGTTATACAATGATCAAGGTAGTAATTTCTTAGACAGAATTCCTTTAAGGCAGATTCTAGTTTATCTTTGAATTCTGAGGATGTCTTGGCTTTCTGATTAGCATATTTGTGGGGAATGATGACTTTTTTTCAAGAGGTCTGAGTAGAGTTCACAGACTGTTCCTTTTGCTTTTTCACATTTAAGCACTTAAACCTAAACCAGTACTAGCCTTCTATTGGTGCTTCCTATCTCTAGGTACTTAGGGGCTTCTTATCTTTACCTCCAATCTTCTAAAGAGCTGTAGTTACTTTCATAGTTATTATTTTTGTCACATGTCTCCTGTGCTCAAAAACTTTGTGTGATACGTGTTTATCAGTATCAGGATGAATACTTTACTTTATGTCTTAGACCTAATCAATGGAGAATCAATATCTAATAGCAATCTCTTCATGTCTTCCTAGCTTCCTAACTAGTCTTTTTGAAGGCAGGGTCTCTAGTAAATAATTTTCATTTAAGTGTGTAAATTCCCTAGTCTTGTTGCTCTTCTGCTCCCTGAAGATGTCGCTCTGTCCAACATCTTTTACTCTCTGATTTCAAGTAATGGGCATGTTTTTATTTTCTCTATTAGATTCACCTTCTATGATGGACCTCCTTTTGCAACAGGACTGCCTCATTATGGACACATACTTGCTGGGACAATCAAGGATATAGTTACAAGATACGCTCACCAGAGTGGGTTTCATGTGGACAGAAGATTTGGATGGGATTGTCACGGCTTACCTGTGGTAGGTTTGCATCTTAGGCCTTACAGGGAAGTGTGGATTTTGGTTTTTACAAGTGTTCGTATTTATCACTTGGGGTGTTAAAAACAAGTTTGCTTGAATCAGATTTTGTATCCCTCTTTTTGTTGATACTGTTTCATTTCGGCAGTGCTTTTTATAGTTAAAAATCTCTTTATTTTTTTTTTCTGAGAGTTGCTGAATCACAACTATTTCTCAGGACATGGATATTAACAATCTTACCCAATTTTCAGGAATATGAAATTGATAAGACACTGGGAATCAAAGGACCAGAGGATGTAGCCAAAATGGGGATTGTGGAGTACAACAAACAGTGCCGAGCCATTGTGATGAGGTATTCTGCTGAATGGAAGGTAAGTTGGTGGGTTCTTTTAAGGAGAAATCATAGAAACATTAGTTTATGGTGGGAGCATAAATGAATTGTGCTTCTTTGTATTTTTTATGAGCTGCTCGTATTAAATATGTATATTACCAAAATATGGCTGTCCAGCAGTTGACCATCCTCTTTAAGAGTCTTTGGATTCCACCTCCTTTTGCTTAAACTATTTGTTCAAACTAGACCTCTTTCTGATATACCTGTTCTTTGCTATTACCAAATAGCATAGGAATCTGACTGTCATCACAGATAGATAAATTGAAGGTTGCGATTGAAATTTTGGGTGTTAAAATTTAAATTTTGAACCCTTCCTTGTTATATTAATTTGATTCCATTTTGCCGCCTGCTGCTGCTTCCTCTTCTTCCTTCTCTCCTTCCTCTTTCTGTCTCTCTTTTTTGGTTTTGGTTTTGGACATACCTAGCAGTGCTCAGAGCTCACTTCTGGCTATGTACTCTGGAATTATTCCTGGCAAGCTCTAGGGACCATCTGGGATGGCAGGGATTGAATCTCGGTCATTCACATACAAAGCAAAGCCCTCCCTGCTGTACTATTGCTCCAGCCCTTTGCTGCTTCTCTTGATGATGAAGTTCTCCATCGCTGGTACCTTTTTGGGCCCTGCTCTTGCTGGCAGAGTTTTGCCCTCGTGTTCGTAGGAGCAAAGTCCGCAAGGCCCCCTCTTTAGGGGTTTCTACAGGTCCAAATCAGCTTCTCCAGCTGCTGTTCCTCAATTTCCTCTCTTTCCCAGGCTTTAAACATTAATCATTGTGGGCAGATGTCAGATATTTTGTCTTTAGAATCTCTTAACCAGTCACCTCTTCCCTCAACCCACCTTTTTCTCTCAATGCAGTAGTCATTGCTCTCTGCACTCCTGTGTGCCAAGCCAGAGCTTTCCCGCTGGGCCTCACCCCAACTCCCGGGGATGTGTTTTTCAGTATGGTACTAACAAAGCTAACAAGGCTTGCATGCATATTGTGTTTATTAGGATTTCCTCCCACTGTATTCACTAAGGAAATTAGGCTAAAGGAAATTAGTTTAGGAGAAGAGTGAGCAGCCTTGATTTTTCTTTTTTTTTTTTTTCTTTTTGGGTCATACCCAGCGATGCTCAGGGGTTACTCCTGGCTCTGCACTGAGGAATTACTCCTGTTGTGCTCAGGGAACCATATGGGATGCTGGAAATTGAACCCGGGTGCAAGGCAGTCACCCTTCCTGCTGTGCTATTGCTCCAGCTCCCCTACCCCCTTGATTTTTCAAGATGTTGGAATCACATTCTGCTCACCAATGAATTTTGGAAAGGCAAGAACAAAACTAATAGTCTTGTAGGAGTACTTGGTAGGTATAATCAAATAATCAAACATTTTCTGCAACTTTGCCCTTTTTATCCCTGCCCTGCTCCCCAAACATGGTGAGCACTGTGTGGTTAGAAAGCGAGCACAGGGCCAGGAGCAGCTCCCAGAATGGATGCAGGCTTTGCTGTGGCCAGCCATGGCCTGGGTCACTGGCCTTGCGTGGTCCACCACCAGGTGCAGCAGTGTTACATTCTTTTGGCTTTCACCGGACCAAGATAGAACTTGTAGATAGAACAAATAATAGCATTGAAGTGATTAAGACCTCAGATGTCTGTTTGGACAATATAGGACAGTGAGGACTTGAATCATTGATTATTCTATTTTCCCCAGACGCTCATGTGTGATTCTAGATAAGTAAAAGGTATTGGCGTATAAGTTGCCAGTGGCATCTAATGACTCCAATTCATGTTTTTACAAGTCTACCGTCACCAGGCTTGGCCGCTGGATCGACTTTGACAATGATTATAAAACTCTCTACCCACAGTTCATGGAATCTGTCTGGTATGTTTATTTGGTCATTGTAAATATAATGAATATTTTGTTTCACTGGTGGAGAGATACTTTAGTGTGCTTGTTTCAAGACCACGATTATTGTAATTTTTGTGTGTGGATTTCTTTTGGTTCGGTTTTACTTTTGTCTCATCACTATTATTGGGGCTTGGGAGGGCAGATCATACTCGCAGTGCTGGGGGCCTGGCTGCCTCTGGCTCAGTTCTCAGAGTTCTCCACACTGTGGTCGGGGGAAACATGAGGCTTCATACATGTAAAGCATGCACTTGGTCTGTTGAGTTATCACGCTGGCCAGACTCTCTTTAAGCATTTTTTGGTCCACAGCAAAATTGAGAGTCAGGTACACAGAGGTCTCACGTTCTGTGCCCTTGTGTACATGGCTACCCCCTTTACCAACATCCACCATCCAAGGATTCTACTTGATACAATTAATGAGTTGACATTACTATAAGAATCACTTAAAGCAGGACAGTAGAACCCTTACACTTTCTGTGGATTTGGACTTGTTTGTAGTGACATATCCATCCTTCAGAGTATCAAAGATATAGTCGTATATTAACGAAACAATGGGCAGGAGCAATAGCACAGTGGTAGAGCGTTTGCCTTGTGCGCAGCCAGCCTGGCGAGCCGGGTTCGATTCCTCCGCCCCTCTCGGAGAGCCCAGCAAGCTACCGAGAGTATCTCGCCCACACGGCAAAGCCTGGCAAGCTACCCGTAGTCAATATGCCAAACACAGTAACAAGTCTCACGATGGAGATGTTACTGGTCCCACTCGAGCAAATCGAAGAACAATGGGAGGACCATGATGATGAACTAAACAATACTGCTAAAAATTGTTAGCAATCTTTGGTGCCTTAAATAAATCCTAATCTTTTTTGGCATAAGCCTGCCATTTGTTTTTTAAAAAAATGATCATCTGCAGTGCACAGCAAAGCAAAATAGCCTCCGTGATTATTCACACTAGAGAAAATCATAGAAATGACCAGATATCTGCTAAAGACTTTTCAGGGGGCAGGGGAATTTGGGGCAGTACTCCACTTCCAGCCATGTTCTGCCCTGCGATGCAGGTCTGAAGTTCAGTGCTTGTCTCTGTCATGTGTCCTGCTCATGCCCTGTGGTGCTCAGGACCCAGGAGGGTTTTTTTCTCATTTGTATTGAGCACCATGATTTCCAAGACTGCTGGTGATAGAGTTTTGTGTATATGATAATGTTATTTGGGGTTTTGTTTTTGAGTCACAGTCAGTGGTGCTCGGAGTTTTCTCCTGACTCTTTGCTCAGGGATCGGTCCTGTTAGGGTTTAGGAACTATATGGGATGCCAGGACTCAACCCAGGTCACCCAAATACAAAACAGGTGCCAGGCCAAAGAGATGGCACAGTGGGGACGGCACTTGCCTTGCATGTGACTGACCCAGACTCGAACCCTAGTACCCCATATGGCCCCCCAAACTGGAGTGATTGTGAATGCAGTCAGGAGTAACCCTTGAGCACTGCTGGGTGTGGCCCCAAAACCAAAACAAAACAAGTGCCTCTCTGCTCCCAGATGTCCCTTTCAATATCCACATAATATCTTATATCCATTTGTTGTGATGTTCCTGCTAAGCCCCAGTAGAGATATTATATGTTTCTACTACTTTGACCTGGTTGCCTTGCAAGTGGCCAACCCAGGCTTGATCCCCTGGCACCCTGTATGATCCCCTGAGCACCACTATGAGTGATTCCTGTGCAGATCTTGGTCTCAGTCATGAGCCACCTGTTATGACCCGAAAACAGGAAGGAAGGGAGGGAGGGGAGATGGGGGGGGGGGGAAGGAACGAAAGGAAATAACAGTACTTTGGGGAAACAAATTTTAATTATACTATTGTTCAGACTCCATCTCTTTATATGGTAGGTGGGTCTTCAAGCAACTCTATGATAAAGGCCTTGTTTATCGGGGTGTGAAAGTCATGCCCTTCTCCACTGCCTGCAATACTCCACTGTCAAACTTCGAGTCCCATCAGAATTACAAGGTAAGGAGGTGTCACCGGGCAGTAAGTTACGTTTATGGAAGTTAAATGCTGTGCTGGTCACAAGTTACTTCAGTTGTGCTCAGGGTTTACACCTCGCTCTGTGCTCAGGTCACTCCTGATGGTGCTTCGGGTACCATATGCAGTGCCAGGGACCAAGTCCAGGTTTGCTCCTGCATATGGCAAGTGCCAGTACTATCTGGCTGGTCCTATTTGGGCAGCTTTTTTCCTTCATTTGGAACTTTATAATATTTATTTGTTAAAAAGGTTTTGGAAGTGACATTCTCTGCTTCCCAGTATACATAACCCGTGATATGTCTGTCTGTCTCTCCCTACTCCTCTCCCTTTTCCTCCCCCCTCCCTCTCCCTGTCTCTCCCCCTCACTATATTGCTGTTTTCTTATTTTCAGGGGATGGGGCAGCAGCATTTTCAGTGATGCTTAGAGGCTCCTGTGGTGAAGGGGAGCAAATTGGGGCCCCCAAATGTAGGAGAATAGAGTGACATTCGTGGCCCTTTAGAGTTGGTTTTTGTTGTCGTCTTTGGTGGTGGTGCTGGTGGATGTGTGGGGTGGTGGGAGTTTTGGGCCATACCCAGGTTTACTCCTGGCTCTGTACTCTGGATGTGGTACTCAGGATTGAACACAGGTCAACCACGTACAGGACAAGAGCCCTGTGTGTTGTACTCTCTCTCTGGCCTCTATAAAACCCTTTATCTTCCTTTAGGATGTTCAAGATCCATCTGTATTTGTGACTTTCCCTTTGGAGGAGGATGAAAACGTATCTCTAGTAGCTTGGACAACCACTCCCTGGACTCTGCCGAGTAACCTCGCCCTCTGCGTGAATCCGGAAATGCAGTATGTGAAGATTAAGGGTATGTGTGAGTGAGGGGATTTTTAACTGTTATGGGTAAGATAGTTTTAAAATATTTGGGGCCAGTGCAATAGTACAGCAGGTACAGTGTTTGCCTTGCGTGAGGCCAACCCAGGTTCAATTCCCAATATCCCATATGGTCCCTTGAGCACTGCCAGGAGTGGTTCCTGAGTATTACTATGTGTAGTCCAAGAACCAAAATAATAATAATAATATATAAAATACTTGGGCAGGGCTGAAGAGATAATCGTGCAGTGGATAGGGTGCTTGTCCTTCATGTGACCCATCCGGGTTTGATCCCTGGCACCATCAGGAGTAATTACTGAGCAGAGCCAGGAGTTTATGCTGAGTTTTATGGGGTTCTGAGCATTATGGGGTGTCACCAAAACATGAAATATTTGCACAAAGAACGAAAGTTTACATTTCCTTTTGAACTAAAACTAGAAGTCTGAAGAAGTTTTAACAAAGTCTGAAAAGTCACTTGGGTGTCAGGGATCACATAAAACGGGGCCACCAGACAGAGCCCAGTATAGGTGGCACCAGGAAACTGTTTATCACACTCAGTGTATACAGCGGCACTAGGAAGTGAAGTCCCAACCTCATAGACCACCCCCCGCCCCCCATGGCATTTCGAGGATAAGAAGGGGAAGAATATTTTTCCATGATGACTCAGGAAAGCTGCACATTCACCTTCCCTACCCACTTTCACCCCATAGAATGTTTAGAAAAGTGAGAACAGTCAGGCTGCCAGCTTACTCAGAGACGTGGGCCACACAGCTGTCTGGACACAGGCCCTAGAGTTGAGCCCCAGCACTATTTAGCCCCTTCAGCAGTGCCACATATGGCCCCGTTGGCCCCCAGAACTGCTGGACCCAGTGACACCACATCACAGCGCTGACCATGTCCATCAGGCTATCCTGGCCTAAACAAGGATTGTTGAGAATGACTGCGTCTCCCCAAACACCCCTGATTAAAAAAGGAAAAATGAGAAAGCCCTATATTCGTGTATTGAAAGATATTCACAATATATTAGGTGAAAATATGACTCTAGGATAATGTTTTGTTATTTTTAAAAAGAATCACATTTATATAACGTATATTAGTATATATATAGATTAGTGGTGGTATAAATTTTTTGGTTTGTATAAGTTGACTAATTTGGGGGGGGGGGGGGTGCGCCACACATGATGGTGCTCTGGTCTTACTTCGGGCTCTGTACTCAGGGATTACTCCCTGTAGGGTGTGGGGACCATGTGGGATTCTGGGTATTGAACCAGCTTGGCTTCCTGCAACGCAAGCACCCTACTTGCTGCACCATCACTCTCTCCCGCTACATGTTAGGACAAGCACATACATAGAGCTATCGCAGAAGAAAATAAAGATGTGCTTGTTTTAAATGCATCTAGGTCCAATTAACAACTGGTGAGCTGGTATTTCCTCTTTAAGAAGCTGTGTGCCCTGGCATCCTTTCCATACCCTCTTGATCTGAGCATATTGGGTACAGCTGAGGGCAAGTGTGCTGATAATGCATCTTTAGAAGGATCCCAGGTCTCATTTCAGTTTTTCCCTTCTCTCATAGATGTTGTCAGAGGAAAAATATTCGTTTTAATGGAGGCCAGATTACCAGCCCTTTATAAGTTGGAGAGTGATTACGAGATCCTTGAAAGGTAAAGCATAGGTATTGTTGGTCCGTGTGTGCATGCCATGTATGGGCTTTATAAGGTCAGGCACTTTTCTACCCAAAGCCCCGCTTACATGAGCTTAGTTCTCAGACCGATGTTGGGTATATGTGTCATCATTAAGGGCAGCAGAACAGAGGGTAGTGTTGGCTTGATGTGGCTACAGCCACATTTCTCAGATGATTTTCATCTAATATGCCTTCTGTCTTCCTAGATTTCCTGGTGCACATCTCAAAGGCAAGAAATATAGACCCTTGTTTGACTATTTTGTGAAGGTAACACTTAGGGACTTGGGTTTCTGGGCTTCAGTATAGCTTGTGGAGGCTGTGGGGGTGGGGGGCACATCCAGTGGTACTTAAAGACAAATCCAGGCTCCTACATGCAAAGCTTCCACTCCATTTGAACTATCTGGAATTGTTTCTCTTGCCTCTGTATGAGGTGTTTTGGGGTTTGTTTTTTTTTTTTTTTTTTTGTCTTTTTCCCCCTTTTATTTGGTTATTGGTTTTGATTTCTGGGTCACATCTGGCAGTGCTCAGGGAGTGGATCTGCTCAGGAGTGACCCCTTGTGGTTGTTGGGATCGGGAGTTCCCTAGCCCTGGGAGGCGCGGAGAGACCAGATAGACACAATTCCTGCAGGAGTAAAAACGGGGTTTATTTAGACCAGCATGCTGGGGCTCCGCAGCATACCCCAAAAACGGGCAGTGGCTGAGAGCCCCGAACTTCTTCAAAGGGGATCTTATATAGGCCTTCACTGGCCGTTACAGCAAAGCCCGCGCATTTCATAGCCAATAGATTTGTAACAACATATACTTTCTTAACCAATCCATTTAAATGTACCTCACTCCTTAGCCTATAGATTCAAAGATCAGCATTTACGTACATCGATTGTCAGCACAAGCAAGGTTATAGCTGGAATCATTAAGCCTTAGGTAATCTCCCTTGACCATCCTAGTTTTGAGTTACCCAAGTCTGCAGGGTGCTTTAGTGAGACAATACATTCCAGGAAAGGGCAATTTCCCCCAACCACCCGCATCCTGAGTTATCCTTTACCCAAATCTGCAGGGTGCTTTACTGAGACAATACATTTCAGGGACAGTAAATCACTTTCCAAGTCCCCTCTCCCCCAGGTGCAAAACAGCCAAGCAGTTTTACAGAAAGCAATGTTGCAAGTTAGCTAAAGTACACAAAAATTTGATGCCCTAATATGGATTCTTTCAGTGGTATTTGGGGAACCCTGGGTAGAGCCCCTGCATAAATCAGTGACCACTCTGTGCAAGGCAAATGCTTGCCTCGTACTGTCTCTCTGGTCCAGTATGTGAAAAAATTTTAAGGCAGTTACCAAGAGGTTGCTAAGTTAGTTGTATGACATGGTAATGCTTCAAGTTAGTTGTATGACATGGCAGTGCTTCATTCTCTGAGCTGAGTAACCTTTGTGTTTTCAGTGTAAGAAGAACGGAGCTTTCACGGTGCTTGTGGACAACTATGTGAGGGAAGAGGAAGGCACAGGGGTTGTCCACCAGGCTCCCTACTTTGGCGCTGTGAGTAGCATAAATCTTGGAACTGTGTTCTAATAACAGAATATTGGTTACCACTGCGGGGTGTGTGCTTGCGTGTGTGTGTGTGCGCGCGCGCAACAGGGAGGGAGAGAGATTACTCATTCTTGCGGCCATCTTATTCAGATCACTTACAGATTTGCTGTCCCGCTCCCTGCATTCACAGCTTCTCCCAGTACTACATGCTTCAATCACTCAAACTGGGAGGTTATTGATGTAACTAGTTGAGAGGGTGAAGTTGGTGACATCCTGCAGATGCTGGGAACTCCTTTGGCAAACCCGTCACCTTCTGTGCCTCCGTCCTGTGTCTGCACTACTCTGCCATCCCTCCCCTCATTCCTCTCCCCCTCCCGTAGGATGACTACCGGGTCTGCATGGACTTCAACATCATTCAGAAAGACTCTGTCCCCATCTGCCCCGTGGACGCCTCGGGCTGCTTCACAGCTGAAGTGACCGATTTCGTGGGACAGTATGTGAAGGTCTGTTATCAGTATGATGTGGAAAGGTGGCAGTTGCTGCCCATTTCTTTCATTAGCATTCTCTCAAAACTTCCAGACCTGGGAGTTTGGCGGGAAGGGGGAGGGAGGGGCCCAGCTACGCTCAGTGTTTACTCTGGGCTCTGTGCTCGAGGATCACTCCTGGCAGTGCTCAGGAGATGGGGCCGGGGAGCAAACCCAGGTCGGCCACATGCAGGGCAAGCATTTTGACCTCTGTATTATCCTTAGGCCTCAAAAATCTGTTTGTTTGTTTGTTTGTTTTTTCCAGAAAGTTTTTATTGTAGTTTTATTCAGCACATAAATTAGAAAAGAGAGATAATTATAGCTCTGTTCCAAGGGTTTGTTCCTTCCAAGGAAGGACATGTGTTGTAATTTCAAGGCATCCAAAAAGAGCTGGTTTTTAGACTTGTAACTCGTATATCTTGGGATAGATATCTGAACATTTTACTATCTTGTCTTTTGTTCTGGTTTTTGGCTTTTTGGGTCACACCCGGTGATGCTCAGGGGTTACTTACTCCTGGCTCTGCACTCAGGAATTACTCCTGGCGGTCCTTGGGCAACCATATGTGATGCTGGGGTTGGGGAAACCCAGTCAGCCCCACCCCAAACGTTTCACTATCTTAAATGGTATACAGTGTACCTTAAAGATCCTTAAAGTTACACAGTGGCTAAAAAGATTTGTGTGTGTTTCTGCTATTATATAAAAAGCCACAAAATACTAGTTTATGGTGGTGTTCTTAATTGTGTTGTGTTACTGAGTACTGTGGGATATTTTGATGGCTGTATTTAATTTTTCAACAGGAAGCGGATAAAAATATCATCAGGACCTTGAAGGAACAAGGCCGAGTATTGATTGCCAGCACCTTCACTCACAGCTACCCTTTCTGCTGGCGGTAAGAAGAAATGAAGGAAGGCTCTTTGAGTTACGCTTCAGGTTTTTTATTTTCCACGCACACGCGGCAGTGCTCAGGGCTGACTCCTACCTCTGGTCATGCAGACTCAGAACCCCTCAGTGCCTCGCTGGTGACCCTCCTTCTGGAGCCACCTTTTACTTTTTTTTTTTCCTTTCTTTGGTTTGGGGGCCACACCCGGCAGTGCCCAAGGATTACTGCTGGCATATATAATTCTGAGAATCAAGCCCAGGTTGACTGAGCACAAGGCAAGTGCGCTTCCCGCTGCACTGCTGCTCATGCCCCTGATGCCAGTCTGACACAACTGACAACACTCCAGCAGAGCTGCATCTTCCTTCTCATTTTTTTTTTTAGCTTTGACTTGATTCTAGTAGTGTCCAGTAGCGGGAACATGACATTTGTGTCTGCGAAATAAAGTGAATATTGTCAGCAAAAAGCCAAAGAAGTGGTGATGACACCAACGAGGAAATTACATTGGGTTTCACCATGCCTCAGTTTGACCAGCCTCTCTGCGTTTCCATACCCCAGGTCAGACACGCCCCTCATTTACAAAGCAGTGCCCAGTTGGTTCGTGCGGGTGGAGCACATGGTGGACAAGCTGCTGAGCAACAATGACCAGAGTTACTGGTGAGTGGGAAGATGCTTCCTCGTACCTTGTGGTGGAGTCGGTAACTTCGGCTTATGCTCCCCGACCTGTGAGAATCTTAGCGACCACCCTTTAATATAGAATGGGAAGATTGTTCTGTCACTGGCATGTGTGTTTCTGTTTTTAAAGACAGTGGAAATGAGAGGCTGCCATTCATTCCACTTACAGACTAGGATAACTTAGGATTTTAAAACAATGTGTGTGTTTTCAGAATCCGTTAGCCCTCAGTAATATTTGGAGGGGAGGCATAAACATTTCTTTCTGAGTGTCCCCATCAGAGCCTTCATCCTCCACGCTTTGGGATTGTTTTGTAGCTGGAGTCCGACGCTGCCTCCTGCAGCTCCTGCCACAGACATGCTTGCCCTTGCAGTGCCCAATGTGTGAAGCTGAGACTCCAGCCTGCAGGGCCAGAATGGAAATAGGGTGTAGGGGCTGGTGTGTAGTTCCAGCAAAACCCATGTTGGGCGCATCGGATGCCCCCTAACTGCCAAGGAGCACCCTGGTGGCCCCTCAGCACCTGTGACGTTGTCCCTTTTTTTTTCCCCTACTATTCAGAAGAATGTTTTTCATTGAGCGTTTTGAGGGCAATCACTTTTCCCACTTTCCCCAGATATCCAGTTAATCCAATTTGGCTTTTCAAAAAAATTTTTGGTTTCCAAAGAATAGGGAGAATCTTAGGGCTATAAAAGGAAAGCCTTGGAAATCATAACTTTTATTGTTCCTACTAAGTGAAGCTGGTGTGTGTGTGTGCGCGCGCGCACGCGCACGCGCACTCAAGAAAGTTTTTCCATTGTTTTTGTTTAATTTTGGGAGGGGTCATACATGGCAATGTTCAGGCCTTACTCCTGGCTCTGCACTCAGAAATTGCTCCCCGCAGTATTAGGGTTGGCCATGTGCAAGGCAAATACCTGCTGGACTATCTCTCTGGTCCCAAGTGTTCTCATTTTTATACTGAGAAACTGAGAAACTATTTGATGGCCTTGTCAAGGATGTTGACCAGTCACGCCCAGGGTGTGCGTGGCTCCAGAGAGCAGGCTGTTTATGTACCTGGGGCACTTGGCGCCTCAACTGGCTCCCAGTAGGCTCCGGTGCCTGGGTGATGGGACAGGGATGTCTGCAGTGAGACCCAGGGGATCAGCACTGCTGTGTAGGGAGCCTGTTTCGAGTGGGGCCGTGCCAGCTGTGTCAGGACTGCTAACAGGACTCGTGCACAGAGACCATGGCCGGGATGCAGGCGAGGGAATGCCGGCCCTGGGGTGAATTCACAGCAGACATGGCCACTGTGGGGCAGCACCAGCTCAGGGACCATCCACACAGAAGATGCTCAGGGGGCGGGGGATGAGCGTAGCATTACCACAGCATTCTACAAGGTGCATAGATAAAAATGGCAGCATTACTCACTGCTCCTTAATGTAAACAGTGATCAGACCTCTTTATTGCAGGGTTCCAGAGTTTGTGCGAGAAAAGCGATTTGGAAATTGGCTGAAAGACGCCCGTGACTGGGCAGTCTCCAGAAACAGATACTGGGGTACCCCTATCCCCCTGTGGGTCAGTGATGACTTTGAGGAGGTGAGGCAGAGACGCGTTTCCTTGTATCTGTGGGTGGGTGGGTGGCCGGGGGGGGGGGGGGGTGTTCAGATGTTTTTTTTTATGAGTTAGGAAGAAGGTCCATACACTGAAATATGTCAGAGTATGATGAAAAATACAAACTTAAGAGAATGTAATGTGTGGCTGGAGCGATAGTACAGCAGGTTGGGTGCTTACCTTACACATGGCTGACCTGAGTTTAATCCCTGGCATCCCACATGGTACCCTGAGCACCAACAGGAGTGATTCCTGAGTGCAGAGCTAGGAGCAACCCCTGAGTATCAATCACCAGATGTGGCCCCCAAAACAGAAATCCAACCTTGTACACCTTTAACCTATAAAATCATGTATCAAGTAATAGTGTTCATGTGCTTAAATATACAGTATGCAAGAGGTGAGTCCATGTCCCGTCCTGAGAGCATCGGTTCAGTCAGGAGAACAGCCAAGGGCTCAGAGGGAATCTCCTAGAGAGACTTGAGATGGGCCTTTCTGGAAACTGAGTTGGAGACGCTTTAGAGCTGACCAAGAGAACAGGGAAGTACCCGGAACAGAGCCCCACTGGTCTCTGCTGTTCCTCTCCAGAGGGCATGTCCAGTCACCTTCCCACACCCCGCCTGGACCCATCTCAGCATCCTTCCAGGCAGCACCAGAGCGTCTTGTGCTTGGATTGCTTCTGTTGGGTTCTGGCAGTGATTTAATTCTGCCTTTGGCTTGTGATTAAAGAGCCAGAGTCCAGTGCCTAGAGGAAGCTAAGATGTCTTAGCAAGGACCGGTCTCCTCTTCCCATTCCTGGCAGCAAATCAGAGCTTGTGGTAGTTCAGGCTGGTCTCTGTCAGAGTGGCCCAGGGGTGGTAACTGTCCTCCAGACCAATGGGGATGGTCACGAACCTCCCCTAGTAGCACAAGGTTCCTGAAACTGCCTGTGAGTGCGCCCCCAAAAAGAAAGAGTGTGGCTCTCAACCTCACAGCTCTCTTGATGTTTGACTTTATCCTGGCAGATAGTGTGCATTGGGTCAGTGGCAGAACTTGAAGAACTGTCTGGAGCAAAGGTCACAGATCTGCACAGAGAAAGGTCAGTTTTGGACTACGGGGTTCATTTCAGCCCTCATAATGCCATGGCACTCAGACTGTTGGGGCACAGTCTCTGTAGCAGACGACAGGGTCACTTATAGAGATCCTTCGTTTGCTGAATAACTGCTGCCCTATTCAGGCTGGGATGGCCTCTGTCTTAATACCTGGGAACTCGTGGGTAAGCTGCCTGGTGCTCTCTGAAATCCTGGACAACATCTGATGCTTGTCCCCAGTCGACGAGAGGAGGAATTGATTTGTTCCCTGATGACAATTCAAGTTCTCTAGTGCTTGAAAGGAATAAGAAGTGGTTGCTCTGTTTGTTTGTCAGCATCGACCATCTCACCATTCCTTCCCGATGCGGGAAAGGCTCTTTGCATCGCATCTCGGAAGTGTTTGACTGCTGGTTTGAGAGTGGGAGCATGCCTTATGCTCAGGTTCACTACCCATTTGAAAATAAGAAAGAATTTGAAGACGCATTTCCTGCACACTTCATTGCCGAAGGCATCGACCAAACCAGAGGATGGTATGTTCCTTATTCTTCCGAGCGCTTTATTCCTTTGCTTTGCTGTGGACCTACCCTGTGTCTTTCGGGGGGCTATGTCCACTCGGGCAGGCTCTGCCTTTAAGGGTTCTGAGCAGCAATCTCAGAGTTTGTGCCATTTTACTGATGTTTTAGAGTAGAGAGATCTGTTCTGCTAGCTGTATGACTGACACAGAATGATTTGTCTTCTGTTTTTAGCTTATTCCTTTCAAATTATGTATTCAGACATTTAATGAGTGGGGCCAGAGCGATAGTATAGCAGCTTGGGTGTTTGTCTTGCATGCAGCCAACCCGAGTTTGATCCCCAGCTTCCCATATGGTTCTCTGAGCACCAACAGGAGTGATTCCTGAGTACAGAGCCAGAAGTAATCCCTAGCATCTCTGGGTGTGACCACAAATGCCAAAAACAAACAAAAATGTTTAATGAGCATTTCCATACAAGATATCAGGGTTGTGTGCTACAGATTTGAAGGCAGGTTGAAAATTTCTTCATATAGTTTTCACAAGGTTATAAAGTTAATGTTACAAGAATTAAAAATTTTGAAAAATACCCTGAGCCCTGCCAGGAGAGTTCCCTGACCTTAGAGCCAGGAGTAATCCTTGAAAGTTCCTGGGAGGATCCTGGAATTGTGCTTTATTTAAATAACTAGTACATCCATCCTCTTCAATGAAAAGGGCATTTGAGGAATGTTGGTGTCGTTTTCTTTTCACAGTTTGCATTGGTGACTGCAAACTGATGGAATTTCAGCCTTAACATTTTAGAATCTGCTATTTGCAGCTTCCGATCAGTCTGTCTGTGGATATAGTTCTCAGGAGGAAATTTCTATTATGGGCAAGTTCCAGCTGCCCCGCCGTGCCCTCTCTGAGGAGCGCCTTATCCCGCATGTTTCTGAGACCCCTGGCTCTCCTGACACACCTATTCCCTCCTCATCCCATGGGTTTGGGCTAATCTGTCCGAGGAAAGAACATCTGGGTAGGTGCATGTTAGCTGTGGGATCTGGTTTTCATCCTTATTAACTCATGCCATGAAATTGTTTTTTGTTTATTTTTGTTTCGGGGTCACACCCAGCAATGCTTAGGAGTTACTCCTGCCTCTGCACTCAGGAATCACTCCTGGGGGACCATATGGGATACTGGGGATCAAACCACATGCAAGGTAAATGTCCTATCTGCTGTACTATTGCTCCAGTCCCCAAATGCCATGTAATGTTCTTGGGGTACAAAATTGAGCGGATGAGATGAGAGGCACCGCAGAGGAAACCACATCATTTCCTGAGACAGCTTTCCCTACGGAAAGTTCTTCTAAGGAAATAAGCTGCAAAATAGAGACTCTCAGGGAGGGCAGAAACACACCCAGATTCCTCTCATCCACCTTCTGGCCCGTGCATTCAGCATCTTTTGTCATAAGTTCAAAAGGCCTCCTGTGACCTGCTGAAGGGAACGCACCCTCTTGGTTGTCAGTCCAGTGTGTCTAGGAGGTCTTGAGGCTGTGCAGTAACGCCCCGTTCTGGCCGGTTCCCTGAGGGGAGTGTAGCTGGCCCTGCCTTCACAATTTTTACTGTACTATTTCTCTATATTTTCTTCTTTCAGGTTTTACACCCTGCTGGTGCTGGCGACAGCTCTCTTTGGACAACCCGCTTTCAAGAATGTGATTGTCAATGGACTGGTGCTTGCCAGGCAGGTGTCAGCCCCGCCCTTGCGCTCAGGCCTGGGAGGAAGGGCTTCATCCAAGCCAGCCCTTGACCTTGCCCTTCTTTGGAGGGAAGATTAGAAATCTGCTCTGCTCCTGCATTTGTTTTCTTTCCTCTGATCTTCTTTTTTGCTCTTCCTTCTCCTCCATTTTCTTTCCCACATATAGACCTCTGGACTTGGGTTGTTTTGGGGAGACGGATTAGATTGAAAGTCTAGTGGAAGAAGGGTTGCTGGATTAAAAGTGCTTCCCAAAATAAAGCTAGCGATAAGCTTGCAGTAAGATGTGTCCTTAGGGATTTTGTACAGCACTTTTACTTCGAGATTTTATTTAATATGGATGCTGGAACTTGAGCGTAGTTTTGTTTTTTCTTTCTTTTTTTAAGTGAATCACTGTGAGATGCACAGTTACAGAGGTGTTCATGATTGGCTTTCAGTCACACAATGTGTCAACGCCCATCCCTCCTTAAATGTAGATTTTGTTTGCCTCTTTTTTAATGTGAGGATGCTGTTGATTCTGGCCATTTCTGATACTGGCATAAGAGGAGTCCTTTTTATCCTTTGCCTCTATCATCTCTAGTCAGTAGAAGTGAAAATGTAGATTAAAACATGAAAATTAACCAGATCATATACATAGCCACCCTGCTTCATGCTTCTGATGATTTACACATCTCAACTCATTTACTCCACAGAACTATGTGAGATGGATCCTTTATTTACCCTATTTTGAAGAAATATGAAGAAATTGAAGTACAAGAAAATTAAGTCAAATTAAACCCAGGTCATCAGAAAATGAGAGATAAATTCATGTCAGTCTGGTTCTAGCCCTACAGGGCATACCTTTTTTTTTTTTTAATTTCCATCAACTGTAGATATTTCAGAAAGGAGATTACCATCTCTTTGCAGGAGTTGCAGAAAGTAGCAACTATTCTTTGTGGACGTTGCCCAGTTTTTCCCCAGTGGCCACATCTTTTAAAACTAGTTTCTTTCTTATGAACTCGATATTGACACAATCCTCTATCCTGTTCAGTGCTGCTGCTTTACGTGGTCTCGTTTGCTGCACAGCAGCGTGACCTGTAAAGGTGTGCACCCACCAGCACATCCTGGGACCATGCTCAGCGGCTCTGACAGTCACAGCCACCCTCCTCCCCAAGCCTGTTATCTGCCGGGTGTATACTTTTGTGATTTGTTGTTTCAAATATATCCTGTAAATGGAATCATGTTGCAGATAACTTTTGAGAAAAATTCTTTCCCTTGGGGATGCAGCTCGTGTGTTCATAGTTCCCACATGTGGCTGAGCAGATAGAGTTCCCCTCCCGTGTCCATCCTGATCTCACCTTCTCGTGGGTGTTGGTTTGTCCTTCAGAATAGGGCGTGAGATTGTGTTTGAGTGAGTTAGAGTTTGTTTTTCTTGTTATAAATGTGAACGCCATGTAACTGTTTGTTTGTTTGTTGTAAATTTGGACCCCATGTAACTGCTAACACTTGCGCATCTTCCAGTGCTCACTCTACCTTGACATTTCTTCATCCATTCTCTGTAGTACTCAGAAAGAAACAAGAAAGATTGGAGCTAACAGCCTTATCATTTATGCTTCAGCGTTAGTTTAGATCCCATTTTCATTTGTTGTGTATTCCACTTTGCTCATTGAGAATTTTTTTCATTTTAATTTTATTAAATCATCTTGAGATAAACAGAAAGTTGTCCATGATTGGGTTTCAGTCATACAATATTCCAATACCTGTCCCTTCACCAGTGTACATTTCCCACCACCAATGTCTCTAACTTCTCTCCTTCTACCTCCCGCGCCCCGTCTGCCTCTATGCTCCACAACAGACACTTTTCCTCCCTCCCTCCCTCCCTCCCTCTGTCCCTCCTTCCCTTGCTCCCTCACTCCATCCTCTCTCTTCCTTTCCTTTTGACTATTATGGTTTGCACTACAGGTACTGTAAGGTTATCATATATATCCCTTTATCTCCTTTTAGCACTTAGTTCTTGTCCAGAGTGATCGTTTCCAACTGTCATTGTCATAGTGTGGTCCCTTCTTATCCTAACTGGCCAGTTCTCCTGGTCCTCATTTCTATCATTGTCCACAGGTAATAGTCTCATACCGTGTTTTGTATATCCCACAAATGCTCATTGATTTCTTTACTTAATCAGCATTTCTCCCTCCCCCCACCTTTTTTTTAAGTGATGGCCAGAAAATGAGCAAACGAAAAAAGAATTATCCAGATCCACTTTCAATCATTCATAAATACGGTGCTGATGCTCTCAGGTATAAACCAATGCTTCCTTGTGTATAGTTATTTTTTTTAATCTTAGTATTTCCCGTTCTATTAATTGTTTTCCTTGGATTCCATTTGTAATTAGCACTTAAAAATTTTATCTGGGGCCAAAGCAGTAGTACAGTGGGTAGGGCGTTTGCTTTGTACGCAGCTGACCTGGCTTCAGTTCCTGGCATCCCATATGGGCCCCCAAGCACAGCCAGAAGTAATTTCTGAATGCAGAGCCAGGAATAACCCTTGAGCACTGCAGGGTGTGCCCTAAAAGGCAAAAATAAATGAATTTGAGTTAGAGAGATAGTATAGCGAGTAGGGCATTTGCCTGGCATGCAGCCAACCCGGGTGTGATTCCCCAGCACCCCATGGTATCCTGAGTACCACCAGGTGTGGCCCAAAACCCAGGGAGTCGGGGTGGGGGGGCGATATTGGTGTGGGTTTTATTTTATTTGGCGGCAGGTGCGGAGGTTAGAGATTAAACCCAGGGCCTCCTGCATTCCAAGCATGCACTCTGCCTCACGGCTCTCTGCCCGTACCAGTAGCATTGTGAGTGTTAAATTGACCGAGAGATATTTCTTCTTGATCCTTCCCTTGATCAAAAAGTAAGATCTGAGTGTTGCTGTGCTGTGGGTCACTGTCTTCTGCCCTGCTGTTGTCTTTCGTTTTCAGGCTGTATCTGATCAACTCCCCGGTGGTGCGAGCAGAGAACCTTCGCTTCAAGGAGGAAGGCGTGCGTGACGTCCTGAAGGACGTGCTGCTGCCCTGGTACAACGCCTACCGCTTCTTCATCCAGAATGTCCTGAGGCTACAGAAGGTGTGCTGGGCCTCGGGGAGGCTGAGGGGCACGGGGCATGTGTGAGGCCAGGGACACAGGAAGGAGGCCCTGGCCTCCGCTAGATTCAGGAGCTGCCTGCAGAGAGGCCACGTTTGGCATGCTCTCTCTCTGTCAGCCAGACCAAAGTGCTGGGAACCCGGAGGATGAGTCTGGGGTGGCAGGGAAGCTCCTAGGACAGCAAGTGTACTAGGACAGCCCCGACAGGTGCATTTGTCCTGGTACTCTGAGGAGGACGGGAGCTGGGAGGGTGAATAAAGTTCCCTTGAGCCGTTCTGTGAAAGGCCACCTCCCCACACCTGTTCACCTCCCTCGGGCCTGTGGGACTTCTGTGCACCCCATGTTCTTCTTCATTTTCTTCTCGTTTCCTTTTTGGTTTTGGTTTTGGAGCCATAACCTACCTACTGTACTATTGCTCCGGCTCTGGATGTTTCCTTTAGCTTAGAAACCAGTAGAAGGTGTGCATGTGGGGTGTATTTCACCCGGTGATGCTCAGGGGTTACTCCTGGCTCTGCACTCAGGAACTACTCCTGGCGGTGCTCAGGGGACCGTATGGGATGGTGGGAATCGAACCTGGGTCAGCCACATGCAAGGCAAATACCCTACCCGCTGTGCTACCACTCCAGCCCCATGTTGGGTGTGTTTCTGTTGGATTTTTGGTTTAACTTTTGGTGGAAGGAGGTGACTTCTTTCAGTTGAAGCAAAGAGTTTATTTTCCTGCAGTGATTTCCCCAGAGCACACACAAGTGTTTCACTAACTGCCCATTCTCAGGAGGAAGGGGTGGAGTTCCTCTACAACGAGACCCTGGTGAAGGCAAGCGCCAATATCACGGACCGCTGGATCCTGTCCTTTATGCAGTCACTGCTGGGCTTCTTCGAGACAGAGATGACAGGTGTGTTTCATGGGGCCCTGCTCCCAGGCAGCAGTGCTCAGCCCTCTCACGCCCTAGTGACAGTTATTTCTCTTCAGGAACATAGAGAACACATTGAGAGGCATTCTAAAGAGCCCCCGAGCAGATTCTTCTGACCTCTCAGATAGAGTGTCATAGAAATGTACTTGTTGGGGCCCCTGAAACCCACATTGCATGATGTGCAGAGCTGTCGCCCTTATGTGTACTGTGACCATGGAGGCGTCAGGGCCGCGGAGTCGGGATTTCTAACAGCCGCTGACTGGGAGGCCTGTGCAGGTGTGGTGGGTGGAAGAGAAGAGGAGGCGCCACCCATGGTCTACACTCTGGAAATGAGCTCTTGGCGCCCCTGCCAGAGGTCACTATGGCCCGTGGGCAGGAGGGATGCTCCAACTGTTTTGAAGGGGCAGAACTGCCCTCGTGCGGGTCTGAGCGCATGCGTCCAGTAAGGCCAGGCTGCTGGGAAGGTTAAAGGCAGGGCAGCAGCTGCAGAGACTGTGTGAGAGGAGAGGGCCAGCCTTCAACCCCGGTCCTTGTATTCTGTTTCCTCCTCCATCAGCCTCTAGTTAACCCTGAGGCCTAGCACAGGAGCCTTTTGAAAGGTCTCCAGTTGCAGAACTTTGAGATCCCTGAGCCCAGGGAGGTGAAAGGTATAACCCAGGTGCTCCCTTTATAGTGCATGTTCTAGGTCAGTTATTTATTTATTTATTTATTTATTGCTTTCGGGGTCGCACCAGGCAATGGTCAGGGGTTGCTCCTGGTTCTGCACTCAGGAATTATTTTTGGCGGTGCTCAGGTGGCCTTATGAGATGCCAGGGATTGAACCCAGGTCAGCCACATGCAAGGCAAACATCCTACCCACTGTACTATCACTCCAGCCCTGGTTCCTAATCATTTAAATCACAGACTTGCATAGCAACAACCGGCCTATGGGACCGGGCTGGGGCTTTGTGAGACAGTAGCAAATAGCACTTGGCTCCAGGCTCTGGAGGCATCAGAGCGCACGGCTTGGCCCTAGCCGACTGTGCTCTCCTGCGAGGCCAGGAGCCTCGCTGGCGTGGTCTGCTCATCCGTTGGGGTCTTTCTCTCCTTTGTGGGGTTTGTTTTTATTCAACAAAGAGTCTCACATTCGTTCAAGGAGCAGGGGGTGGGGGTGGGGTGGAGCAATACTCTAATCCTGCAGCAGGGCTGGCTGGCCTCCTCACCCTTCCACCTATCTTCTAAACCCCTGCCCCTCCCCCACACAGCCAGAGTTTCTCAGCACAGCACCAGGAACCTTTTGGGGGCCGGGGACTGAGTGTGCCCCATCAGGTGTTGAACTCTGACCCTTATGTGCGCCCCAACTCCCCAGTCTCCCCTGTGGAGCAGAAACACTAATGTGAGACTCACTGGCCCACACTTGGCCTCTGGCCTATCAGCTTCCTGAGTGTGCTCAGATCAGTGAGACACTGATGTGCCCACCTGGCGGGGCTCCAGGTGACAAGTGCCCTGTAGAGCTATGTGGCGGGTCCCCTCAGATGCAGATGGGGTTTGTCTGCTCTCCCTGACCAGCACGTCATTCTGAGTGTGCCCCTCAGCCCCTTGGCTCCCGTGTCAGCCACAGCCCCAGTAAATACTGTGGGTGATGCTTCTCTGAGGAGCTTCTGTCTCCTTAGTGAGCAGAGACCCAGAGGGCTTGTGTCACTGTCCAGCACGCAGCGTGCTGAGCGTGTTCTTGTGGCCTCACTGACATGTCTTTTTTTCAGCTTACCGCCTCTATACCGTGGTGCCTCGCCTGGTCAAATTTGTGGATGTTCTGACCAATTGGTATGTCAGAATGAATCGCAGAAGATTAAAAGTAAGTGCCGCCGGGAAAACAGCATTGACAAGGGGACAGACTGAAGGAATGGGACATTCTGCGTGCTCCGTTTTCAAAGCTGTCTTTCCCTTTCACTGTCGCCCATCAGTTGTGTTTATGACCTTTTGGTGGATGGGAACCTTAAGTTCTGAAAGTCATCGCACATGCTTTAAAAAGACAACTGGAATGTCATGCTGAGGGAACGTCTCAGGCCATGCAGCACCAAAACAGATTGCTCTTAGAATCCAAAAATCCAGATCTATGACATACTTGCAAATGGCACGTCAGGCTCTGAGCCTGAACTGGCAGCTCCTGGCTTCCGCCTCCAGGGAGCCAGTTGTTCGTTGGCAGATCTCTTACATCAGCTGGGATTCAGGGTGAACAAGGCTTGGCCATAAACCAGGCAGGCTGTCGGGGGGCAGTGGGGAGCCTTTGCACAGGCCAGGTGAGGCTCCCACTGCCTGTCAGTCCTACCCGCAGTTGGATTAGTGAAAAAAGCTTAGGGCAAAGCCATAATTTTGTCTTGCTAGAGTATAATTATTAATGTGCATAGTTACTAATGCACATAATAATGATAACCTTTGGCATATACAGTGCATGTGTATTTTATTGGTTAAATTGTTTTTACTTAAAATTTCCATTGCCTGAGTGTTGTCTGAGTGTCCTGCTCAGCATCCAGCCCCTCCAGCTTGCCCTGCTGCCATAGAGACGTTCTGTTGACAGTCTGGGACAGAGCCAGAGTCATGGTCCTGACCCCTGTTCCTGCAAACTTTCCCTTTGTGGGTGACCTCTGACAGTCTCTTATGTGGTTCTATAATAAACACTTTCCACGCCCCCTCCGCCCCCCATTCAGTTGACTGCTTGTTCTTTTGCTATTTTAGGGTGAAAACGGCGTGGAGGATTGTGTGATGGCCCTCGAGACCCTGTTTAGTGTCCTGCTGTCTCTGTGCAGACTCATGGTAAGCTGCCTGGCTGTGCCTACCACTGCAGTGTGCGTGCGTGCATGTGTGTGGTATGTAGGCTATAGATGCTGCTCCCCCAGGAAAAATAGATGGGTTTGGGGGGTTTTTTTGTTGTTGTTTGTTTGTTTTTATTGAATCACCTTGAGATAGTATTAGAAAGCTCTCATGTTTGAGATTCAGCCGTATAATGATCAAACACCCATCCCTCCACCAGTGCACATTTTCCACCACCAATGTCCCCAATATCCCTCCCCTGCCACCATCCCAGTCCCCACCCTGCCTCTATGGCAGACGATTTCCCCAATACTCTCTCTCTACTTTGGGGCATTATGTTTTGCTCAAATTTTCCCACCACCATTCAAGCCTACCTGCCAGAGGCTAGATAATTTATTTTCCATTGCTCATTTTGAATATCATGAGAGTTCATGTGGCCCCCAAAGTGGCCAGGTGCTTCTGGAATTCTAGATTGCAAATGATTGGATTCCAGAGACATCTCTGTATGGCACTAATCCATTTTGGGATTCAGTTGGGAGTCTCTGGGCCAGGGCTGTTGGTGCACTAAGATGGCGCCTGGAGACAGATTGTGGGCGGGGAGCTGGGGAGGAACAGACAGGTCCTCTGCTGCCATACGGCCTGGAGATTTAGTCCTGGAAACTGCATACCTGGGCCTTGCTTGTGGAAGCTCTTGGTCACCAGGATTCCATCTGGAGTAGGCGAGGAGAGTGTGCCTGCTCCATCTGGGGTTCCTGGTAAAATTGGCCCGGTATGGGGCCCGGAGAGATCTCCAGCGCTGTGGTGTGTCTTCCGGGGCAAAATAGACGTGTTAAAGCACCTTCAGTCTCCAGTTGTGATTCAACAAGTCAGGGCGAAGAAACATGAGATAGTTCAGCAGATAGGGTGCTTGCCTTGTACTTGGCTGACCAGGTTCAATCCCTGGCATCGCATATCCCTTAAGCACTTCAGGAGTGACTCCCGAACACAGAACCAGGGGTAAACCCTGAGCACAGCTGCGTGCGACCCAAAAACAAAAACGCAAAGCTGGACTCTTTACATCTCATCACTGGTGTCTTCTTTCATGGCCAAGGTCCTGTCTCTACACTGAATTGCCACAGTTGCCTTTATTTATGAGGGGTCGCACCCACTGGTGCTTGGGGACTACTCCCTGAACAAGGTCAGCCACTGCAAGAGAAGCACTTTAATCCTGTACTGTCTCACCAGCCCTACAGTTCCCTTTGGATTCGCTCTCATGCTTAACCGAATATATTTTAAATTATATCTTCTTGTTTGTGGTTTGGGGGCCATGCAAGGCAATGCTTGGGAGTTATTCCTGGCGGGGCTGGAGTGATAGCACAGCACGTAAGGCGTTTGCATCAGGCCAACCATGCAAGGCAAACACGCTGCCTGCTATCCTATCGCTCTGGCCAGCAGTGATGGTATTAATGTTAAAGTGCCTTAAGTTGCTATTTATGAGGAGACGGTGAATGAGCTGCTGTCCTATGCCCCACACAGGCCCCCTACACACCTTTCCTGACGGAACTGATGTACCAGAATTTAAAGATGCTGATCGACCCCGTTTCTGTCCAGGACAGGGACACGCTCAGCATCCACTACCTCATGCTGCCCCATGTGCGGTAAGAATTCGAGACAGATCAAGGGACCCACCTCACACTCGGGGGACTGAGGGTGATGCTGCTCCCTGCTCCTTCTCTCCCGAGTTATTCCAAGGGCCAGGAAATGGCAGCAGGGATGTGGCACGTGGGTCATCGAAAGGGCCAGGAGCTGCTTCCCAGGACACAGAGCAACAGGCCCAGGCCTCTTGTCTCTCTGTCACTGTGACTTACTGTGTCATGCTGTGTTGCCCCAGTGAGACAGGCCCTGGTGCTGAGGATGTCTAATCTGACTTCCTTCTCTCACTTCTCTTAGGCAGGCCCAATTTTCTTGGTTTGTCTGGTGGGGTTTTTTCTCGGGGCGGGGGGGGGGGCGGGGGTCACACCCAGCGATGCTCAGAGGTTACTCCTGGCTGGCTCTGCACTCAGGAATTACTCCTGGTGGTGCTTGGGTGACCATATGGGATGCCGGAGATTGAACTTGGGTCAGCCGTATGCCAGGCAAATACCCTCCCCGCTATACTATCACTCCTGACCCCTGGTTGTTTGTTTTGATTGTGTGTTTTGTTTGTTTTGTTTTTCTTTTTGGGTTGCACCCGGCAATGCACAGGGGTTACTCCTGGCTCATGCACACAGGAATTACTCCTGGCGGTACTCGGGAGGGGGAAATATGGGATGCTGGGAATCAAATTTGGGTCGGCTGCATGCAAGGCAAACGCCCTACCTGCTGTGCTATCACTCTAGCCCCTGGTTGTTTGTTTATTTATTTATTTATTTATCTTTGCTTTTTTGGGTCACACCCGGCAATGCACAGGGGTTACTCCTGGCTCTGCACTCAGGAATCACTCCTGGCGGTGCTCAGGGGACCGTATGGGATGCTGGGAATCGAACCCGGGTTGGTAATGTGCAAGGCAAACACCCTACCCACTGTGCTATCGCTCCAGCCCCTCTGGTTGTTTGTTTTAATTCTAAAATTAAGTTTGGTTTTTTTGTTGTTGTTTAATTGAATCACTGTGAGATACACAGTTACAAAGCTGTTCATGATTGGCTTTCAGTCATACAATGTTCCAACACCTGTTTCTTCACCAGTGTACATTTCCCACCCCACCCCCAATCCCCAGTCTGCCTTTATGACACTCTCTCTCTCTCTCTCTCTCTCTCTCTCTCTCTCTCTCTCTCTCTCTCTCCACCTCTATCCCTTTTCTCTCACCTTTTGGGCATTATGGTTTGTAATTACCAGTGCTGCAGGTACTGAAAGGTTATCATGTATATCACTTTGCCTCCTTTCAGCACTCAGCTCTTCTCCAGAGTGATCATTTCCAACTATCATTGCCATAGTGGTCCCTTTTCTGTCCTAAGTGCCCTTCTCCTCCTGCTGTGATAAGCTTCCCACCAAGGACCAGTCCTCCGGGCCCTCATTTCTATTATCTTTGGTTATTAATCTCATGGGTTGGAGTGATAGCACAGCAGATAGAGTGTGTTGCCCCAGTGCCCTTGCACGCAGCAGACCCGGGTTCAATTCCTCTGCCCCTCTCGGAGAGTCCGGCAAGCTACCAAGAGTATCTCGCCCGCACAGTAAAGCCTGGCAAGCTACCCATGACGTATTCAATATGCCAAAAATAGTAACAAGTCTCACAATTTGTTGTGAGATGTTACTGGTGCCCACTTGCCCACTTGAGCAAATCGATGTGTTACTCCTGGCTCATGCACTCAGGAATTACTCCTGGCAGTTCTCAGAGTACCGTATGCGATGCTGCGAATAGAGCCTGGGTCAGCCGCGTACAAGGCCAACGCCCTACCTGCTGTACTATTGCTCCAGCCCCTCATACTATGCTTTTTTTTGTATACTGCAAATTTAGTGTAATCATTCTGTCTGGTTGGCGGTTTTTTTTGTTTGTTTTGTTTTTGTTTTTTTTGCAGTGTAATTGTCATTCTTCCTCTCATTTCACTCAGCATGATACTCCCTGTCCATCCATGTGTAAGAAAATTTCATGGCTTAGTTTTTCCTAATGGCTACATAGTATTCCGTTGTGTAGATGTACCAAAGTTTCTTTATCCAGTCGCCTGTTCTTGAGCACTCAGTTATTCCAGATTCCGGCTGTTGTGAATAGTTCAAGTGGGCTCGTTTGTGATTTTCTCCTTGTGACTCTGATCTCTTCCACATACCACCTTTCCCCATCAGAGAGGAGTTGATCAACAAGAAAATTGAGAGTGCCGTTTCCAGAATGCAGTCTGTCATTGAGCTCGGGCGAGTGATTCGTGACCGGAAAACTATTCCAATAAAGGTCTGAGATTTTACTTTGGGTTTATAATGCACATGTTTGAAGTTCTTTACTTAATGTAGAGTTGTATCTGTAGCGAACTGCCCCTTTTCTTCTCTTCCTAGTATCCTTTGAAAGAAATTGTGGTTATCCATCAAGATCCAGAAGCCCTTAACGATATTAAGTCTTTGGAGAAATATATCATTGAGGTAAGAGGGATGTTTTGACCATTTTCATCCAGATCTTTTATGTAACGTCTTTCCTTGTTGTTGTCCAAAAGACAGTTTTGCCTGCCAGACTTAAAGTGTCTGCCATGATGAAACAGGGGCACCAGTTCAAACGCTCAGTGCCTGTCATGGGCCCCTGGCACTACTGAGACTGGTCCCTGAACACTGTCTAGAAGTTTGATACTTAGAATCATCATGGATGGCTGGGGGGTTTTTTGTTTGTTTTGTTTTGGGGTTTGTTTTATTTTTTTTTTTTTTTGCAATGTAGTTGTCATTCTTCAAAACGCATTTCAAGATCACTCTCATTTGGATCATTTATGTCCTCATCCACCTCTCTGCCCCTATTCTGTGCAAGGCAAGCACCCCATCCACTGTACCGTCTCTCTGGACCCAAGGATTTCATAGTATTTATAGAGGTTACCCAGTGATCACAATAACAGTTTCACAGTCAGATTTATATGATTTATGACCTTTTCATGAAAAATTCACTGTCACTTCTCATTCACACACCACTTTTCCCTCTGGATCCGACTGCCATTGATAACCACAGATATGCTCCCCATGGTATGCCAACTCTGGACATTGTATAAACAGAAACACAAGGCATGTGATCTTTCATGTCTTGACTTCCTTTTGCTTCTTTTTTCGTTTGGGGGCCATACCTGGCAGTGGTCATGGGTTTTTGTTTTTGGTTTTTTTTTTTCCACTTTCACTCACACCAATTTGTGTCCCAGCAGATGTCCAAGCTGCATCCCCTTATATAGCTCCCTAATGGTCATTGTGTGGACATGCCCTGTCTTATCCATGCCTGTTGGGCTCATTTCCACTTTGGGCTTTCAGTAAATAGTTAAGTAGTGTTTAGTCCTTCATGTAAGAGAGTTTGTGGAATGAACGTTTATGTTTCATCTTTTCCCCTGACTACAGGAATTGAATGTGCGGAAAGTGACTCTGTCTACAGATAAAAACAAGTATGGCATCCGCCTGAGGGCAGAGCCTGATCACATGGTCCTGGGCAAGAGGCTGAAGGGCGCCTTCAAGGCAGTGATGACGGCAGTGAAGCAGCTGAGCAGCCAGGCCCTGGAGCGCTTCCAGGAGACGGGTGGGTGTCGGTCACCCAGAGAATCCTTTTCAGTTCCTCAGTTTGGCTGGCACTCTGAATTGGAAATGGACAAAGCTAACGTTTGTCTTCCCCTCATAGCCCTGAGTGACAGTGATGGTCAGGGACAGCTCGAAATGAAGGGACTGGATAACAGGCAGGCGTAGGGAGAGAATGCAGAGCTGGTTCAGATGCTAGGAGTGCTCAGCCCTAGCAGGTTTAGGATGCTGCATGAGTCTCACCAAGACCCTACGACAGTCTTTCACTCTCAAGCCCGTTTTACAATCAGGAATGCTGGTCAGACACTTTAAAGTTCACCAAGAAAGCTTTTGGGGCATACTCGTAGTGCTAGCTCATGGCGTAGGACAACCTCTGAGGTTGAACATCATCAGCCTGCAAGTATGAGTTGTGATTTAAGGACCTAGAAATCAGCTGGGTGGTCATGGAAACTGGGATTATGCCCCTAAGATACTCAGTTCTAGATAAGTTTTGTATGATGTAAGAGATGAGTAACTTATTGAAACTTTGCTCATCTACTATTTATACTCAGCAAGTCACGAATCTAAATTGTTCTGTGAAGTAGCCAAGAGATCCAGGATTCTTGGGAAACAGCTTCACTTGAAACTGGTAATTTGTCTAACCTCTAGTTTCTGAGTGGACTGTTCTGCTCCATTGGAAAGAAAATAGATATAGAGCTGTGACCTCAAGTGAAATGTTCATCAAACATCCAGTGCTCAGGAACCGGGGAGCTTTGGAACCACGTGGGTTTCCCAGACGAGGCATTTGCACTAGGTCGGCCTCGAGGCTCCGCTGGGCAGGATCCGTCAGGTTCCGATTTCCCCCTGCCATGGCTTCATTCACCATGCTGCTGTTTCTAGTGAGGATTCATCAGTTTTTGGCTTGTGCTCTTTGGTCCAAAAGTTTTCATGAAACAGAAGACATTGGTGGCGGCTTCACTGTCCTTCGACCCACACAGTGCCATGTAAGAAAGGTCTGTTACCCCCTGGGCTCCAGTCGTGCTGAGAGTCACAAGGAAACGACCTCGTGCTGCTCATCGCTGCAGTTTGACGCTGCGCGTGTGCTGGTAGTAAGGTGGCTGGGGGAGGGAGGATGGTCGAGTCACAGTGGCCGTCTCTTCTCCTGTAGGGACCATAGTTGTGGAGGGCCATGAACTGCATGAGGAGGACATTCGTCTCATGTACACCTTTGACCAGGCGGCAGGGACCACTGCGCAGTTTGAGGCGCACTCGGACGCTCAGGTACTGTTCTTTCCCTGGGGCACATTCGCACCCAAAGGTGAGACCCTCTTGGGAGTACCGGCTTTTCTTTGTCCTTCCTGTGTTTATAGCATTTCTGAGGGCAAAATTAATTACCCATCTAAAGCCCTTTGGTATATGCCCTTAAGATGTATTATGTTACTTCCTTAATACACATTTTAGTTCGTAACTTCTACATGCAGATAATTGTCCTATCTTTGCACAAAAATGAATCAGACATAATCATCCCCTTCAAATAATGAGTAATTCCTGGAGACAGGAGAGAAAGCCAGTTGTTATTATTCCATCTGATCAGCTGGTGGAGATCATCTGCCACCTGAAGTCTGGGTGGTGGTGGGACTGGCCATAGTGCCTCCTTAGAGAGTAGATGCGACTGCTCAGGTTTCTAGGGCCAATGCCGCTCCTGCCATACGGGGTCACTACTGCTTCTGCTGTGATGGATCTGGTGTCCCAGCTCTCTGGAAGAGGGCATTTTAAGTTCGCCAGTGTAGGAGTGGCAGGCTTGCTGACAGACCATAATACGTCCACATAAGGAAGGCCAGCTTCGGACCTTTTTATGTGAGCAAACTGTGCTGGGAGCACAAGAAGGAATGCGCGGGAGATGGGCGGACAGAAAGGGGATCTGTCATTTGGCCAGCCTAGGAAAGACCAGAAATTGTTCGCTTTTATGCAAGAACTCTTCTTTGGATGCTTCTGGATTTCCAGACGTAGTTTGTTTCTCTGTGAGCCCCTGTGGTCATGACCTGACTGGATCCTGATCTACCTGCCTCTCCGATAAAAGTGCCGCTAGCATGATTATGACAGTATCTCTGACCTCAGAGCAGATCAGAGTAGACGAGATGGACAAGAGTAGGCCATGTCAGGGGCCAGAGAGCCCCGAGCAAGAAGATAGGCAGTTTAATCCGAATTTCAGTGGTGTTATAGTAGTGCAATTGAATTGTGTCTTAATCACAGACAATACCGAGGACTGAGGATCAATCATGCTTTAAGGAAGAGTTGATAGTGACTCTTCCTTAAGAGTCCTGTTTGTCGCTGCTCATTGAGGAGTGGGAGGTGATGGCAGGCCTCTGATTATTGATCTGACATACTTGGAGAGTTGACATTTTTTACTCTTTACATGAAAAACAGTCCCAGGGTAAACACAAAACTGTTTTTGGGAAGGGAACCTTGCTCAGAAGAGAAGAATCACTGACTACAGAGGACCCGGCTGTGGAGAAAGTGAATTTGCCCCTCCCTCCCCCTCTGCATTACTTCTGAGAATTTGGTTTTAAATAGCGTGCTGCTGAGTCTGAAAGAACACTTTGTCCTGTGCAGTTGTCAGGATGTGTGTCTGGTTCATTCCCTCAGGCTCTGGTTCTCTTAGATGTCACCCCTGACCAGTCAATGGTAGATGAAGGAGTAGCACGGGAAGTCATCAATCGGATCCAGAAACTTCGCAAAAAGGTCAGTTTGTCAAGTTAAGAACAAGTTACTGTTTGGGGGAGTGTAGGCTTGTTTGTTGGTGGAGCAGGAGACACCGGCAAACCGTGGGAATTCCGGAGGGCGTCACTGATCTGGCTCCGTTCATTCTGGGAAGGACAGGCCTCTTGGTGCTCCCCTCCCAAGCTGGGCTGTGGCCCCTTTTTTTGTGTCTATTAACAGGAACTTTCAGTCATATGTGTTCCTTGTTCCTCTTTTTCAGTTCCCAAGAATTTTTGTTAAGTCATCTTCTGGCTAGAGCTCTTTTTTTTTGGGGGGGGGGGCGGGGTTTGATTTTTGTGCCACATCCAGCAGTGCTCAGGGATCACTCCAGGCAGTGCTCAGGAGACGATCCGAGATTCTGGGTACCAAACCCAGGTTGGCCATGCAAGAGAAGTGCCTTTCCTGCTATACAATTTCAGCAGCCCATAAATAGCTCTCTTTGCTGTGTAGAAGATAATACAAGATGACAGCTATGGCCGGAGCCATAATATAGTAGGTAGGGTATTTGCCTTGCCCACAGATGATCCCTGTTCAATCTCCAGCATCCCGTATGGTTCTCTGAGTGCAAAGCCAGGAGTAAAACCCTGAGCATCACCAGTGTGGCCCAAAAAACAAAATTTTTTTTTCTGGCCTTTTGGATCATACCTGGCAATGCTCAAAGGTTACTCCTGACTCTGCACTCAGGAATAACTTCTGACATTGCTCGAGGGACCATATTAGATGCCAGGGATTGAACCCAGGTCAGCCTTGTGCAAAGCAAATGCCCTACCTGCTGTACTATCGATGCAGCCCCATAACATATGTGTTTTTTAATTGTGGGCTGGAGCGTTAGCACAGCGGGTAGGGCATTTGCCTTGCGCGCGAGCCGGGTTCTATTTCTCCACCCTCTCGGCGAGCCTGGCAAGCTACCCATGACGTATTCGATATGCCAAACACAGTAACAACAAGTCTCACAATGTTACTGGGCCCGCTCGAGCAAATCGATGAACAACAGGAGGACAATGTGTTTGTGTTCTAATTGCAAGATGACAGTGAGTCTCAAAGCCTCGGGGAAGAGATTATTGGATCTGGACAAGTGATTTGTGGGAGCTGGGAGCCAGGACAGGTGCATTAACCTCTAGCTGGAGGCTCATGGAGGCCACTCCACAGTCACACTGCGCGTGTGAGTTCAGTCTGCTGCTATCGAGCAGCTTTGCCCCTCTCTACCTCTTGTTTTATTTCTTTTTTGGCTTTTTGGGTTACACCTGGCGATGCTCAGGGGTTACTCCTTGCAGTACTCGGGGGACCATAGAGGATGCTGGGGATTGAACCCAGGTTTGCCACGTGCAAGGCAAATGTTCTATCCACTGTACTATCGCTCAGGCCCCCCTACTCTACTTCTTAGTCCAGGCAAGGAGTGGGCAGGAGACAGCACTGGTCAGCAGCATCATGTGTTTTCGTCTTCAGGATGTATCCCATTTCTGTGTTTGCAGTGTAATCTGGTTCCAACCGATGAAGTAACAGTTTATTATAAAGCAACATCTGAAGGAAAGTATCTGAACAATGTTATTGAGAGCCACACCGAGTTCATATTTGCCACCATAAAGGCCCCCTTGAAACCATATCCAGTTCCTACATCGGATAAAATTCTTATACAAGAAAAAATGCAGGTAAAACCATTTAAGACATATGGTATTAAGTTTCATGTTAAATGTACGTGGTCCCATTTTGATATTCTAACCTCTCAGAGAGATTGGTTTAGTACTCAGTATTCACATCACTTCTGTTGGGAGGATAGTAAGGTAGTACCTGAGATTTGCCCAGTAATCAGATGACTCTCAGCCTGCTGTATGTAAAACCGGAAAAGTCAATATTATGAATTTGGGTAATTATTAAAAGGAAACAATAGCTGACTTGAAAAGCAGTTAACTTTTATGATAATAGGATAGTCTTAAAATTACAGTTTCATTTCCTGTTGGTACCAGTAGGTACACTTCAGACAACTGAAAATCTGATACCAAGATAAAGAAGTTTCTGGCTCATAATGCAAATATAGGACATTTTTCACAGGGGAAGAAATTCTTTTCCATGTTCATCATAGCTTCTATCATTTGGGGCTTTTTTTGTTGTTGGTATTTACATCTTCATGCTACTTTATTTGGAACAATAGGGATAGGCAAGTAGGGCTAAAGGTCTTTCTAGTGGGACAGATTATGAGATGGTTTCATTATCTGTTTTTCATATTTTTAAATTCCTTGACACTATAAAAAAGCAAACATATGTTATTTATGATTACGGAAAAAGATGGGCTTTTTTTTCTAAAGGACTCAGTATTCAGAAAAATGCAGGAGGGAAATTATAGCTCTTGTCTCTCTCAGTGACGGGCTTGACTATGTCCTCCAAGTGTATAGCACATTTGTTCCCCCTGAGAAGCAGTAATTGCCATGTTATGTGCTGAGCCATTCAATCACATTCTTTTCATGTGCTCAGCTAAAGGGATCTGACCTGGAAATCACACTCAGCCGAGGCTCCTCAGCGCCCGGCCCTGCATGTGCCTATGTCAATCTGAACATTTGTACGAATGGTAGTGAACAAGGTAAGAGTAAATAAAGTGTCTTTTTGTCTTTTTTCTCTTTAAGTTAAACTTCTGAGTATCTTTGAAGCACGTTTTTCCTGGATTGGGGGGAATACACCCAGCGATGCAGAGGGATTATTCCTGGCTTTGCACTCAGAAATCACTCCTAGTAGTAGCAGTGCTCAGGGGACAATATGAAATGCCAAGGATTAAACTCGGCTCAGTGCATGCAAGGCAAATGCTTTCCTTACTATACGATCACTCTGATCACTCTGGCCCTTTTAAAGCACATACAAGAGAATCAGTAAAATCAGGTATTTCTTTTCTTTTAAATTTGTTCATCAGTGGGAGCCAAAGAGATAATACAGTGGGTAGGGTGTTTGCTTTGCACTTAACCAACCCAGGTTCGAGCCCCTGCACCCTATATGGTCTCCCGAGCCCCGTCAGGAATGATTCCTGAGTGCAGGGCCAGGAGTAAGCCCTGAGCACCACCAGGTGTGTCCCCAAAAAAACATTTTTTTTTCTTTTTGGGTCACACCCGGCGATGCACAAGAGGTACTCCTGGCTCATGCACTCAGGAATTACTCCTGGCGGTGCTCGGGGGACCATATGGGATGCTGGGAATCGAACCGGGGACGGCCGCATGCAAGGCAAACACCCTACCCGCTGTGCTATTGCTCCAGCCCCTCAAAAAAAAAAATTTTTTTTTTAAATGAGAGATAGTACAGCTGGTAGGGTGCTTGCCTTGTACATGGCAGATCTGGATTTGCTCCCCAGCAACCCAGATGGTCTCCCAGGCCCTGCCAGGAGTGATCCCTGAGCACAGACCCAGGAATAAGACCCTAGCGCCATAGAGTGTGGCCCAGAATCCAAAAATAAATTTGTCATCAGAGTAAACCCACAAAAGCACTTGAATCAACACCTAAAAAGATGGAGTAGTTGAACATTTCCCTTTTCGTCACACAAAATACAGTTAAGCACCCTGGACATCGCGTGCATAAAAACAGGAAGAATTAAAACTAGAGAGAGGGAGACAGAGAAACTAAGGACTTTAAACTTGAAAGTGAAAGTAAATAGCTGGTACTGTTTTGAAAAGGGTGTGGTCTTTTCAAAAGAGAAATCACTCTGCCCACTTTTTCCGTTTGTTTTTCTGTCACACTCGGTTACTCCTGGCTCTGCACTCAGGAGTTACTCCTGGTGGTGCTGATTGAACAATATGTGGGGATTGAATCTGGGTCAGCCATGTGCAAGGCAGGTGCTCAGCTCACTCTACTATTTCTCCAGCCCCACTCTACCTACTTTTCTGTTTCGTTTTGCTTTGGGGTCACACTCAGTGGTGCTCAGGCTTTGCACTCAGGGTTCACTCCTGATGGGCTCAGTGAACCATATGGGGTGCCGGGGATCAAATCTAGGTCGGCCACGTGCAAGGCAAAACCCCTCCCCGCTTGCTGTCACTCCAGCCCCTCAAACAACTTTTAAGGCAACCCCAGTATTGGCATGAGCATATAATAGACATGTAGGTCAGTGTCAGATATAGAGAGTCTAGGAAAGGACTCAGAAAATGAAGTCAAATGATGTTTGCAAAAAGAACAATCGTAAATCATTTAAGGAGTCTTCATTTATGGTATTAGAACAGTTAGATATCCATAGACAAAAATTGTCTTAGCTGGGGTTGGAGCAATAGTACAGCAGGTAGGGTGTTTGCCTTGCACGCAGCCGACCTGGGTTTGATTCCCAGCATCCCATATGATCCCCTGAGCACCGCCAGAAGTAATTCTTGAGTGCAAAGTCAGAAGTAACCCCTTTGCATCGCCAGGTGTCACCCAAAAAGCAAAAAGAAAAAGTCAACCTAGGGAGAGATAATAAAGAACAAAGGGCACTTGCCTTGTACACAACGACCCTATTTTAATCCCAGGACACATAGGGTGGTGTCCACCGAAATGGAAGTAAATTCGAGCATAAACACATTTGTTTCCTTTGAGCTTTCATTCCAGCTTAACTTTAACTTATTTTTTGTGTTATTTTAGGTGGAGTATTGCTTCTGGAAAATCCAAAAGGTGATAATAGATTAGACCTTTTAAAGCTCAAGCGCGTTGTTAGTAGCATTTTCGGTGTAAAAAATACAGAGCTTGCCGTCTTCCACGGTGCAACAGGTTCGTGGAAAGTTGACAATTCTCTATTCTTTGAAACGTGGTCACTTAGTAGAGATCATATCCTGCTAGGACTTCTGGTGCTTGACCTTGGCCTTGGTCCTGACTCTATCTAGGGCAGGTTCCTGAGCAGTGCCTGTCCGCAGCACCTCTGCACCTGCTTACAGTGTGGAACAAATGAAAACATGAACAGGAGGGGCTAATCCTGACCCCTTACCCATTTGCTGTGTGATGAATGGCAGCATTAGAGGACTCCCTGGAAAATTTTAACTTTATTAAGGTGTCTGCATCTTGCCAAATGGAAATTTTCAATTTGGTAAACCTGAATAAAACTGTAAGAATGGGGGCCAGAGAGGTAGTACAGTGGGTAGGTCACTTTCCTTGCACATGGCTGACTTAGGTTCCATCCCCAAATCCCATATGGTACCCCAGAGACCGCTAGGAATGATCCCTGAGTGCAGACAGGAGTAAGCCCTGCTGAGTTGAATTGTTACACCCTCTAGCCCACCCTCCTCAGAAAGAACTAAGCACTAGCCCCCATATCTAGATTGTGATCTTGGCAGGGAAGTGGGGTCATGGTGGATGCAGTCCGTAAAGATGACTTCAGCTCCCAAGCATTTAGCCTGAAAGAGTTCATTTTGTTTCATTTTACAGAACTACAAAACCAAACCGATTTGCTGAGTCTGAGTGGGAAAACTCTCTCTGTGACCGCCGGGTCGGCTCCCTCTGTGGCCCACAGTCCCAGCTCCCTTCTCTGTCAGTATATCAACCTGCAGCTGCTGAACACAGACCCGCAAGGTGAGTTCTGCCTGGCCAGGCCAGCATGCTCTGCAGACCAGGTGCTGGTATTCCCGTAACGGCCAGCCCCTTTGATCAGTGGGAATTCCCACACACTGAGAGATGGTGGTTTCTGGTGTAGACACCTGCATGTTCTGGAGAGCACCCGCCTCACTCCTGGTATTTTATGCAAACACTCATCCTCCTGACAGGACCAGGAGATGGGAAAAGTGATTTGGTAAAAATTACAGCTGGGGGCCGGAGCCATAGTACAGTGAGGAGGATGTTTGCCTTGAAAGTGGCCGACTTGGGTTCGATCTCTGGCATCCCATATGGTACCCCAAGCACCACCAGAAGCAATTCCTGAGTACAGAGCCAGGAATAACCCTTGAGCATCGCTGAATGTGACCCAAAAGGGAAGGAAAAAAAAAGAAAAAGGAAATTACAGTTGAGTGGCCTACAGGGCTATAGTTCAGTAGTAGAGCACTTGCCTGACAGATGTGAGGTCCTAGATTTGATTCTTGGAAAAGCAAAGAGAAGAAAAAGAGAAACAAATTACAGATAAATGAAGCAGAATCGTTTAGGTAGCAAAATATTTACATTTTGTATTTTGAATCCGGGTTGACCATGTGCAAGACAAGCACCTTACTCAACTGTATTGTCACTCCAGCCTCTTAAGACCCAAGTTTTGACCGTCAAAGAAGTGTGTGTGTGCGCGCACTTAAATATATATAAATACGTGTGTGTGTGTGTGTTTGTGTGGTCCTCATTTGTGTATCCATCATTGATGCTCTTTTCTTCCACACATTGAGATGTGCAGGCTATTCACCTGATACTTTCTGATTATTTCTGTTTCCCAGGCTTCTGTGCTAGTAGACTCCTGGGCACTTCTTTTTCCCTTTTCATTTCATCTCTGTGGAATGTGAAAGGCTAATTTTTGTGCAGACTATGTAGTGGTCCTACCCCTCTCTACCCACTGCTGGCGTTCAATGCCTTCGAGCCTGGGGTCAGAGTGAGAGCAGCTGGTAAGGTGCTGGCCTTGCACGCAGTTGACTCAAGTTTGCTTCTCCAGCATATGCTACTGCAAACGGTCCCCCTAGCTCACCAGGAGTGAACCCTGAGCACTGCGAGGTGTGGCTCCCAAACTAAACAAAGCCTTCAGAACTGTCGGGCACCATTGCTGGTAGCCCCATGCAGTCAGTAGCTAGACTGTGGGCTACTACCATTGAATCGAGCATGTTTTTTCTCCTGTAGAGTGCCTAATGGGAACAGTGGGTACTCTCCTGCTGGAAAACCCACTTGGACAGAATGGACTCACCCATCAAGGCCTTCGGCATGAGGCAGCCAAGGTATTTGGCCTTCGGAACAGGAAGCTGAAGCTGTTTCTGAGTGAGACTCAAACAGATGGTAAGGGGAGATGATGGAACGTGACAAAAGTCAATTCACTTAGGATGAGACCAAAATTCTTTACTATACAGTCAGCTAATGTTGAAAATTCTCTTTCCATCCTAGAAATTACGGAAGCAATCCCCATGAAGACGTTGAACACGAAGACTCTGTATGTGTCTGTATTGCCAACGACAGCAGAATCATGACAGGGTTGATACGGTTCACCGACCTTTCCCTCGTGCATATTCCTCCCCAACACACAGACACAATGAGGATGTTTCCCTGAGACACGCGTATGGAATGCTGCTGTAATGAGATTCATTCATGAATGACCTGAGACCTCAAAGGAATATTCACACTTGACTCTGACACCTATGCAGTCTTGTTGGGGTACTGTTACCTTGTTACCTCAGCACTACAAAGTTTCTTTCTATACTTGAATTCCTAAGTATAGACAGGAGAAAACCTTTCAGTGGTATAGTTTTATATATACATACATACAGTTCTGTGGTCTTTTACACCTTACTAGGACCTCCCAAAGGAGTGGACTGTATTGTCAAAGTTCTATTTTCACTGCTTAGGTTTTCCTGAGTTATTTGGAATGTTTTAAGTTTCAGTAAGTCAGAGCAAGAAATAAATTTTCTGTCAGATGCTAAATATGTCAGAGGTAATTCTTTCACCCATTGATTGTTGGAACGGAAGTTAAAGGACATACAAACTTAATAGTCATCTTTATTCGAAGACCTTGGTCTGACACCTATGAAAGAAGAGGAAAGAAGCGAAATTGGCCAGAAAAGCTACTATGAGAAAATCTTGGTCAGGCCAGTTGAGAGCCCTCAGAATAAAATTTCTTTGAAAGGGTTCAGAGGAGCTGGAGAGATAGTATAGGAGGTATGACACTTGCCTTGGTTCAATTTGTGGCACCACATATGGACCCCTAAACCACACCCAGAGTGATTCCTGGGTGCAGAACCAGAAGTAAATCTTGAACATAGTCATGTGTGGTTCCCACCACAAAGAGAGTTCAGACTTGAACAGAAAGGCTCTGATTCTGTGTCCCTGTCCTGTCCATCAGTGACTGGGAGCAGCCCAGGTGCAGTGTTGCCTTGTCACAGAGGCCTCCATGAATTTGAACTTGTAGCTACTAGGCTGGCGAGGTGACCCAACGTGAGCGTGTGAGTGCTTTGCATGCGGGAGACTTGAGTTGTATCCCCAAAACACATGGTTCCCCAAGCCCTATTGGCTATGACCTCCCCCTCCACACCCCCCAATATGGAGAGGCTGTCATCCAGTGTCATGTTAGAATCTTCTGAAGGGGAGATCTAAATGGGAATCCAAACGAGAGAGAAGTACTGACCAGGGTGTCAAGACATTGGGATAATTGTGCTTCTTGGGGGAGATGTAAAATGATGGTGCCACTGTATGAAGTGGAGGTTCCTAGAAAATTAAGAAGAAATTTACTATGCAATGCAAAGAATTGAAAGCAAGATCTCAAAAGAGGTAGATGTACACCCAGGTTCATTACACCATTGAAACCACCCAGAGGTGAAGCAATCCAAATGTCCACCAAGAGATGAATTGGTTAAGAGAAAAAAAAATTTTAGAGGAAGGTGTGTGTGTGTGTGTGTATTGGGGGCGGGGGGGGCAGAGCAATAGTACAGCTACTAAGGCCTTGTAGATAGCCGACATGGGTTCAATCTCCAACATCTCAAATGGTCCCCCAACCACCACTAGGAATAATTCTTGAGTACAGAGCCAGCCCCTGAGCATTGTCAGGTATGACCCCAAAAGAAGGATGAACCTTGAGGACATGTTGCTCACTGAAATACACAGTAGTCAGGTTCACTGAAGCAGTAGAATGGTGTTTGGGGCTCGAGGAAGGGAGAATTGCAGTGTTGAACAATGGGGATAATGTATATTTCTGAGGAAAGATCTGGATACAATAGTAGTAATGGTCAACTATGTCCTTATAAGATGGTTATTTAGTAACATGGTTTTTTTTTTTACCATATTTGAGAAAAGTTATAAAAACCATATCTAAGAGATGCTAACCTGATAAAGCACCCAGTGGCCAGAGCTGGAACATGTGAATGAAATGGTTAATACTGGGTCATAACCAAAGTATGAAACATCCATGAATCCAACCATAGGAAACAGTTACAAGGAAGTCAAACCAAAACCAGGGGTTCATCAGAAACCTTGAGCTCAGGATTACTTCCTACCACAGCTACTCTTCTCAGGAAAGGAGAGAGAAGTGTTTCTTTCCAGAGACGCAAAAGCTAAGGGAATTCTTTCACTAAACACAGCCTACATCAAAAGTAGTGGGAACCAGAGGCAGGAGGGATGATACAGCAGGCAGAGCATTTGCCTTGCAGTTGGCCAACCCAGGTTCAATCCCCGGCATCCTGTGTGGTCCCTCAAGCCCTACCAGGCCCCACCAGAAGTGCTTCCTTAGCCAGGAGTAAGGAGCATCAGCAGGTATGGCTCAAAAACAACAAAAGAGAAAACTAGTAACGACATCAACCTATCAGGGGAAGAACTTAGATAATTTATAGAAAAACTATAGAATAAAAACTTGATAAATATTATAGCTGAGTTTTAATTTTGTGGTGGGCATGGTGTAGCAGCATTGTGCATATGTATTAACATTTATATTCCTGTAAACTTTTTACCTTTATAATATAAAAAGGAGTAATTTTTCCCCTTCACCCTAAAAAATAAAATGCGTGAGGGTAAAAATGTAGTTTCAGAATGAGTTCAAAATTAAGTGGCTACACACAAACGAATCTCGGACTGCAGAGATGTCTCTGTACTTTACAATAGCCCGTTTTCTCCAAGCCGCTCCAGTTGAGGACAGGTGCCGTCCCTCCGCCTGCCCTGTAGGAGCCCTGGTGGGCACCATCCTTTAGAATTCAGCGAAAAGTTCCAGGTACGGGTAGTGTGGCAGGAAACGCCAGGCCTCATGGGACGGGAGAAGTCGGTCCTTCTCCAACACCCCCTCCCCCCCGCCCCAATGGGACTCTGAGAATATATCCACACCCGGCCACCATCTACTTAAGCTCCCAAATGGTCATGATCCAGAGACACAAATGAATCGGACCCGAGCAGCTTGCTGCAGCGATCTCTCCAGACCCTAATTATTAAAATTTTAGATTTCCTAGTATCCATAACAAGCAATACAAAACACATTGTCTAGCATTGCATTTTCAGCAGGTATGAGTGGTGATGGGACGACACAAATATCGAAGGTAACCAAAGTAGAGAAAGAGAGTATTGTGCAAATTGTCTGCCACACAGGCAGGGGTAGGTGTGGAATGGGGGGTGGGGGGATACTGGGGACTTTGGTGGTGGAAAATGTGCACTGGTGAAGGGATGGGTGTTTGATGATTGTGTGATCAAAGCTCAAACATAAAAATTCTGTTACTGTACCTCACAGTAAATCAATGAAAAAAAAAGTGGCTATCAACTTAAAATGTTAGATACACACCCCCCCATCACTCATGTCTAAACCTGAACCTGCTCTTCACCCTCGCTTGCTTTCCTGCCCATCGCTCCTTCCTGCCAAGCAGGGGAACTCTGGTTCCTACTTGTCCCTACCTCTTGTGCCCAACTCTGTCCCTAATCTCTGCCCATACTCTCTTGCCCAGGATACCAACTCTAGTGCTCATTCCTTATACACTTCCCCTACCTCTACTGCTGTAAACCCATGAAGACTTCGGGATCCCACGTGGATCCACCTGGTGGGTTCTATTAGTATATAGATATGATAATATATCATTAACATATCTATAACGACACATTATTTTAATATGTCTATGGGGGATATAATCATAGATACATAAATCTATCCTTGCCCCTAACCCCTGCCTGCTTAGAACTCGATCCAAGTCCCCCGACCCTAGACCTGCCAAGAAATCCTCCCAAGGTCACAGTGGCTGCCAGACATCACTAGCGATTTCTGGCTGAGGGTTAGGGATTAGAGAGTAGGATTGGAGTTAGAGGTAAAGTTAGGGTTAGTGGTTAGGAGTTAAGGTTGGGGTTGGGGTGGGTTAGGGCTGGGTTAGGGTTGGTTTCTGTGTTGGAGTTAGGGATTAGGGTTGAGGTTGGAGTTAGGGTTAGGGTTAGGGTTTGGGTTAGGAGAAGGCCTGCAGTTAGGGGTACAGGTAGGGTTAGAGCTAGGATTGGGTTAGGATTGGGGTTAAGGTTTAGGGCTACAGTATTAGTGTGTGAAGGACACGGTTAGATGTGAGGGTTTAGAGCTTAAGAGTAGGGTTCAGGACTTGGTTAAGGGGTAAGGGTTAAGGTTCAACTATTTTCCTATGAATTACCTAACTGTTGCATCACACATGGTCCTGAGTCCCACCAGAAACCTCACTGAGCACTGCCCGGTCTGTCCCCAAAACAAACAGAACAGTAGGGGCCAGAGAGATAGTACAGTGTATAAAGTGCTTGCCTTACACATGGCCGACCCAGGTTCAATCCCCAGTACTCTATATGGTTTTCTGAGTCCTGCTAGGGTTGGTCCCTGAGAACTGCCAGAGTGGCTCCCAAAACAAAAAGACATCTGGGTCTGATACTTTCATGTTTAGAAGTTTTAAATTGGGGTGCCAACTACATGACTTTTTTTGTTTTGGCTTTTTTGGGTCGCACCTGGCAATGAGGGATACCTCCTGAGTCCACACTCAGGAATCACTCCTAGTATTTCTTATGGAACCATATGGGATACCAAGGATGAAATTGGGGTTAGCTGCATGCAAGGCAACACCCTCCACACTGTACTATCACTGCAGCCCCCCCCCCCCCCCCGGCATATGGCTTCTTAACCTGTCTGTATGTTGAGCTCTTTGGGAAATTCTCCTTTTATTGTTCTTTTTTAAATTTAATTTGATTTTTATAAATAATAATTCATTACATTTTGTATTCAAACACCAATCCCACCATCATTGCACCTTCCCACCACTGTATTTCAAATGTTTCCACCCCAAATCCCAAACCGTACCCCGCTAAGCAGAACTAAGCAATTAATTTTGTATTGCTTGTTGTGAACAATCTGTTAAAAATGGTCCAATAAAGTTTCCTTAGAGGAAAATGTGTGAATATTGTTGTACTTCATCCTGAGCCATTGAGAGATTACTGACATGTTTGTTAACCCCCATCAAATGTTGTGTGCTACTCTTGGTAGATCAGTGGTGTAGAGTATGTGAGTTCACAAGACCACATTTGCAGCTGCATGCTCCAGGAATTCTAAAATTTAGAATACTGTTATACAGCAGATTCACTCATGGGTGAGGCTGTTGAGATTATATGGCACCAGAGGCAGTTTGTGGGTGTGACTGCCAAGCTACTGGTAAACTAGGGAGATGGAGAAGAAGGTTCATTCCCGCTCTGAGCGAGCTTAGAGATTTCAGTCACAGGTCCTGCCTACCTGGGTTTTTCTATAGATTCACTCATGGATGGAGGCTTCTCCAAGCCTGTGGAGACTGGCTGTGAACATGGAGGTGATTGGATTCTGGAGGGTTTGGGCTGCCCGGGCTCTGTTGGGGCAGGGAGGGAAACTCGCCTGCCCTCCCTCTGAATTGACCCAGTGAAGACAGACTGGCACAGGATCTGGAGGCGTCTCTGCGGCCTGTGGTTCTATGCTGCTCTCTTCTGGGAACTCTTCTTCTTTCCTTCCCCTCTTTTATTTTTTTAGTATCTTCAGGGTCCACCATGATATATTGATTAATTCCTAAGAATGGTGATTTATGTTTTCTCAGGAGGCTTGTCAACTTTATTCCTCTTTCTCTGTAACAAGCTTACTATCTTCTTTTCTAAATTTAATTTTTATAAAGTTG